GGGGGGGGGGGGGGTGGGAGAGAGAAGGGGACACGTGCACCCCCCCAAAGCTGGGGCTGGGGTGGGGGGTCGGGAGGAATACAGCCCCCTGTGCCCCCCCCCCCCCCCCCCACCACCACCACCTGAATCGGCCACTCCAGTACTGTTTTTAAATAAGAGGAACTATTGCCACTGTTATTTGTATTCGTGCCAATCCCTATGTCCTTAACCTTCGAATTTACCAGACAAGGTCACGTGCAATTTATCTAAAGCCGGATTTAACCAGCGTTTAAACTTCTTTCCGATTGTAGAACACATCAATACCACAACTAACTGACTCAAAGCACACGGATATGGTAATTGACTAATTTGCCAAACAGGATCCACTATTTATTAAACCACATCCGTAAGGTGACGGTAACTAGTATATAAGAGAAACTTACTTTGGCGGCTGGAACGCACGGTAAACATGAAGATAGTGTTATTGATGTGTGTCTTACTTGTCGCGGCGTTAACGCTTGCGAGTGCTCAGAATTTGGCAAAGATAGCCAGCGATTTGGCCAAAGGTGGTCGACACGTATGTCCGTATTGTGGGTATTGTGGATATCAGTACAAGTGCGATCGTTCATGCAGCCACGCTGCGTGCCGTATGTGTGTTTATAGATTCCACTGTTCATCAACCTGTATAGGACTCTGCAGATTGCCAGGTGAGGGAGTTACTTTTGTTCATGTGGGTAGAAACCGAGTTGATTTTTTTTAACTTAAAAATTGACTTGATTAATGATAAAGACTTATTCTGTAGATCAATACTTTATGTTTCATAAGATAATGGTCTGAGTTGATAAATATACTATCTGTATCAACGTAATGACTCTCAATAATATTAATTAATTTGGAATATTAAACTAATTATTTATTGAAGTTTTTCCTTAAATTACAACATAAATGCTTCTCATAACAGTTTACTGTAGCATCTTTTGCTTCTTATTAATAAATCTTTTCAAAACTGTTATTTTCGAAAGAGACCACCCCTCGGCCGGCAACAACAACACCAAGCAGTACGACTCCAAAAGAGACCACCCCAGTATCCACAACACCCGCGACAAATACAACCATCAATCCCAACAGTGAGTTTCATTCCTTTTTCTTTGAGAATTCTCGTAACTTTTGTCTTGCGAGATCATTCAAAACTGCCACTAACTTATTACGAACTTCATTCGAAACTTTATGTTGGCCAGAGTTTCAGACGCAACGCGGTCCTACATCTGTTTTCATATTTCTAAACATGTCACCTGGCGGTTGTCCCAAACGCGCATGTATAGCGGCTTGAAAATGAATAAACTGGCCCGCAATCAAGCCTAGGAAAGATTTATCCTATTCTTCAAAATTTATTCATCAATCTTTTGTGGTCCATCTTCATAAACCCCCCTTTTTATGTCAATAACATATATGCTTTATTTGTTCTGGATAGACCCAAAGAACTTCACGTTTGATAAGTTTAAAGACGTATTAGATGCCGTGGAAAAACTCTTCCCTGATGTGCCACCAGAGGATTTGATCCATAAGCTTCGGATGCTGGTATCCCGCTATGACACACCTTTTTGGAAAACCATGTACCTAGTAAATGACAAAGTCCCGTTTGTTGGCAGAGACGTCTCACCATTTCCAAATGACCCGGCTAGCCAGGAGGCATTCGACTATCTAAGGCAGACAATGCTGCATTCGATAAAGGACACAGATGGAGATGGTCGCTTAGAGGAGCAGGGGGTGATTAAGATTGGTGACGACGCAATTGCATTAGGTGAGAACCTTTATCGTGTGAAATTACATTTCTGTGCCTAATCACATTTGGTCATACTGAAAACATAACAACGAAGCGTAAGATGAAATCAATAACTGGGTTTCTGTCAAGAACATGTACTTGGTCGATAGCAAAATATTGCAAACCCTTTCTACCCATATTTTTAGAATTTCAAAATGTTTTCTTGGGGGGGGGAATGCAGTTTGATTTAAGTTTTTTTAAGTATTGCCAGGTTTCTAATCAAGAGTTGTTGGTAAAAAAAAATCACCCATGGCATTTGTTGTTGTTGTTGTTGTTGTTGTTGTTGTTGTTGTGTGTGTGTGTGTGTGTGTGTGTGTGTGTGTGTGTGCACGCGTGTCCCTTTGTGTATATTACATGTAACTCAGTATTTTTTTACTTTTTCTCCAGGCCATGTCATAACTGGTATTGCTGCCGGATATGATCGGCATTCGATTTCTGGGATGGACAACCTCGCCGCCACCACAATAAGTGGAGATCTTGGGCAGTCAGGTCATAAAAATCAACTAGGTACATGCAGATAACACTACTGGCTGTATAACGCATAGGCCTATATATGTAATGATCGCATGATTTCATGATGATTTCTTTACAAAACACAGAGCATTCTTAGTCTTTTAGTTGGTGATTTCGCTTATTAAGATGTTGATGATCCTCACTGAAAAATCAGCGACAAGAAGTTTGACAGACCTTTATGTAATTTTATAAGGCTGACACTTTAATCCCGTGTAAAACCTTACCCTAATTTGCTTTGCATTTATTTTGTCTGAATTAATCCGGTCGCGTATGAGGATGTTGCTAACATCTACCTTATAAAAAAAGAAATGAATAAAAATAAAGCAATAAAGAAAGAAAAGAACCACGCGAAAATTACATTAACAAAATATAGAAACGATCATCCCTTCCGTACCATATAAAGATGCTCCCTTCGAGTAAAGACCAAAATATCTTCTTGCAGATTCCACCAAGCCATTGATAGGGCCTAGCGGCACGTGGAACGGAGAGAAGTTTACCCTTGACGGTCCGTACAGCATGGCCACAGACGCCGAGATACTCGGCGACATCGATGGCTACATCATGGGGAGCCGCGTTCAAAATGACCCCACAACACCTATCAGCTCAAGGGTCAAGGAGTACTACAAAGATGGCGGCGACCACGAAAGGAGGTTTGAGATTTTTAAGACTCTAATTACAAAGCAAGAGTTACAAAAGGAGACCGAAGAGTTTGCAGATAATTATGAGATTATCCATGGTAGTGTGGACGATATACAGGCTGCTGAAAATGCTGTGAATGCATTCTGCGCGCGTTTTAATGAAGAACTAGGCTCCTGGTGTAACTAATAGGCCTAAATGTATCTTACAGACTGAAATATTATCATTATGATTATTATTTTCGTTATTGCGTAGTTTGTGACATTAATCGTCAAAAAGAAACGTGATCAATTGCTAAAATGGAAAATTATTTGTCTTGTTAGAATTACGGTAGAATTCACACAAAGAAATAAACAGACGCCTGCATCCTTTCCAACTCTAACAACCATGAGCTACATTTTGTGTTGATTGGTTAAGTAAATAAAATATCCCATAAAAACAATCTTCGTCGATATTCATCATTTATCTATAGTCACCGTAAATGAATTTATTACAACTCAGTGCTGTCATGACAAATCAATATCATATTGTTCTACAAGTAGGACCTATGCCTTCGTCCTCCAACAGTAGATGGCGGCTGAAACTCTTCAAATATCTATTGCTCGAAAGCAAAAGTTGAAAATGAATGCTTAATATATATTTACCGATAAAACGTCTCTTCCCACGACTGGCCTTTCCATTCCACCCTAGAACTCAACCCTTACCGAAAGTCAGACACTATGTAAAGTTTATCTTATATTTCAAGATATACATCATACTTTCAAGAAAAAAACAAATATCTATATTACCAAATCTATAACAACTAGGAAGCAGGTGATCGGAATACTCTGTAGCAATACTGTTTATTGAACAATCATGGATGAAGGGGGTCAAAGGATCTCTTAAACAGATCATTAAATTAAATATTCATTAAATTAAGTTAAATATTCATCAATCTTTCAAATGAAGAAATTCAACATTGCTATTATTGAGAACAGCTCGAGAACAGCAGAAACCATCAACACCAAACATGTATAACTTGATGTTAAATGTTTGCCGTTGGCTACAACTTATCATAAGTCATGGTACACATGCCCATGCAACCGTTTTGAATCTATGTTGAGTATTAATAATCTAATAATTCCTGAATCATGAATCAGGACAAGATAACACCCAAGCTGGATTAAATGTTGGTTAGACCTCTACTTTCTTTTTGCTGTGCTCTTTCTGCTGGAAGTGGTATACTCTTCATCCAGGTCTATGGCTTGCAGCCATCCTAAGGAAAAAAGATGAATTTCAACCGCAAAATTTACTGCAAATTAAAGTGTCAGGGTGACCGAAATTTAGAGAATCTGAACTGCCAAGAATCAGAGAACCCTAGTATAAGCTATTAAACAAAGTACGGGCGACCGAAAAAATAAGATTATTGTAAAGAGAACGAGAGCGCAGAATCATCAGCGAAAACAAGTATGTTTTGCAATTTCGATGACGAGACCAATCTAAACATTCTGTTTTGATACTGGAATGTGTATTCGTACTACTAGCTGTATAATTTATGTAAAGGCCCTTTTACGTTCACTGTCGACTTTAATTAATCATTATTACAACGTATATGATGTTGGGTCATTGCGTTTTGTAAACATGGCAGCAAAGCTGACAAATATGCAGACGCGAAACAAGGGAAAAACATTGTAACAATATTTACACAGAAAAAAAATCAATAACTGTCGAGAGTGCACAAAATACATGCTAAAAACTGTACATTTGGTAAAGATAATCTGATTGTGCTTATTTTAAGGGTGAAAAACAGAAGTGCCGGATGCGACAGCACGGACAAACACAGTGATCAGAATATAAATATATTGCTTGTATATGTATGTAAAATGTGCTAAAACCAAATAATAATAATAATAATAATAATAATAAATTGTGTGTGTGTGTGTGTGTGTGTGTGTGTGTGTGTGTGTGCAAATGATGCACTAATAAACTTACAAATTCATCATCTGGTCCCCAGTCAGTGGCAACTTTTTTAAAGAAGTCTGCTGACGTTCTGACGGGCACCTCCTCCCCTTCGTCAGAGTCTGTTTGACACCATTTTCCAGTCTTCTGGAGAACGTCGAGGTTTAGGTAGCAGACATTACATACCCAGTAACCCTTAAAATACTAGGAAAGTTGAAACACATTACCATTTGAGTACTTTTTGACATTTATAGAGCTTTTCATTTCAAATGTGCAGAAGTTTTGCGCTGGGCCAAATTATACTGTTGACTCATCTACATATCATTGTTCGAACCCAACGTTTTATCAAGTAAGTCCAATACTCACACTCGTGCTTAAAATCGACAGTCATATACCTATTCTCAATATATTCGAGATTGGAGTTTTCATAAAAAATATATTAAGGCATATACGATTAGAGAACAAAGGATGCTCCTATTAAATATTCCGTATCTCTTCATATCTTCACTTTTGGCCCAAATGGTGTTAACATTACAATAAATAGTCACTACTGACTGCAATTTAATAACAACTGGGACGGATATTAGCAGATATTGCTGAAATTGGTTTCTATAGGTCGCGTATGAGATTGAACCTTCAGGCACTGCTGCTCTCTCTCTCTCTCTCTCTCTCTCTCTCACATATAAATAAAGAAACAAAAACAGCAGTGGTTACTTTATTTTTTAATCAGTGCAGATCGTTTCATTTGGAACTTGAAATTATAAATCTATAGTGTTAAAATCCAGTTGACCTTCATAATATAACAGAATAACTTCATTATAGATACAGCTTATCATCACAATACCAAGCCCTGGACAGATGCCTATACAGCACGCCACGCGAACCTTTTAAGTCACATCTCTAAACCTCAGGCTTAAACCCTGGACATTGGTGAGTTAAATGCCTTTTTCCGGGAAAACCCATAATGTTGATAGGAAAGATCGTATTACTGGAATCCACACCAACATTGGCATATCGTGTTAGTACTTCAACGTAGTGCTTTTCGGTGTAGTTCAGCGCTGCACGTACACTGTGCAGGCATCTTTTCACAAAACTCAGATAAATAGAGTTTCGTTTGAATGCCATCTGTACATTTTCTCACTCATCTTTCACTCACCAGGTCCGTCCGTCTTACCAACCACACAGATGCACGCAAATATACCGAAGAGAAGTCCTTCGATAAAACTTATACGAACTGACAAGTAGATATCTTGTAGGAAACCAATGATATGACTAAAATGCTTAAACTCGTACTTTTGCTATGTTTAGTTTCATTGTCGTATTTACACTGTCCCGTCTGTTCCAACTGATATGCAAATATCCGTGTATCACCAAGGTATCATCTGTTTGGGTTTTTTTAGATAGATATGTGACTATTAGACTGGTACTGGATAAAATTATTGTTGCAAATTGACAATTAGCCACCGAAAGACATTCAGACGGTGTTTTTCTCTTATTTGAAATATTTGTATGTGAAACTTAATTGAGACGCATCTTTCGTTTATTTCTTAAAGGATAAAACAACAACAAACATCTGAGATGAAAGAATACAAGAAATGAAATGAGTACCTTGGTAATGTTCCACGCCTTTCCAGTTGGTGGTGGTTCAACGTAGGTTCTGCACTTCGAGCAGGCTCTCTTCTTACAGAAGTGACACGCCCTTCCTACGCCGTCCCATATGGTCGCCGAGTCACACAACATACACAGCCTTACTGTCTTTTTCTCCTGCTGTCGTTCCAAAAGGGACACCTGGTCATTCATTGAATCCCGTCTTTCTTGCTGGTTCCTGAAATATAAAAAACTCTGCAATATGACATTTATTAGTATAGGCGATTTGGGTTTATTTTATGACCCAATTAGGATCCTGTGGTGAGAATAAGAAACAACATGGTCTAGGTTAGAACTGGTGTGAACAGCCCCATAGATGGTAGATAACTTCCACTAATATTAGTACTAAAGCCAAAGAAATAAACGTGCAAACTTTAATATCTGATATATTAAAGAAATCGAAAATCTAGTGTGAAAATATATGGCACATAACCCACTTTAGAACTTCATTTCGAAGCATTAGATCTATAAAAAAACTCTGTTCTATTCATGTGGAAGAATTGGTGATTTAAACCAACCTAAGTAGATATATTCCTGCAGGCACCAACCAACAATATATAGTGCTGCTAGACTGATAAGCGACCAACAGCGCTTTATTGTGTTACTGATATGTTTTTAATAACGGACTAAGGCAGTACAGCAAACACGTACAAAGACTAGCAATGCAGTCACAATTTTGACTCAAAGACCAAAGATTTACCGTATCAAGATCAAGCACAGACGTCTAAAAAACCTGTAATTCTTCCATATACTACCTCTTTCTGTAGAAGCCTCATTCTAAACCATCTTCGCATACAATCACTTGTAAAGATGTATAATTTGCGTTGGATAATGATATCACATGAGATCGAGAAGGGGAGAACGCCTAACATTGCCGTTACTAAAAAAATCTTTTGAGAAGTGGTGCAGCATGATGCATTTCCTATAAACTGAATATCATAACACCCCTTTGCCTCTTTTGGGGGGGTTATAACTTCATAAACATTAAAGAATTACCTGACTATCATATGCTTGAGTTATTTTGATAAACAAGTAATGATAAACATGGATGTATCAAACATCGCCGTTAAATGATTATGGTACTGGTATTGTGGATATAAGCATACTGTCTGTTTAAAAAGGAAGGTTGCAATGACGTAACTAGCACCAATGATAATAATTAATATTGACATAAAAGAACAACGTTTTATGAAGGCCTCCACATTCCTATTGGTGTTGATGGCTGCAAAATTTGGATGTTGACCAGAAATAACGAGAACTGCCAACAGTACGAATCCTTAGGGCTGGAGAAACAGATTACAGCTGCCCCAAATGAAGAAAAATTGGTTCAGTAATAAAAAAGATCTTCTTGACTGGAAGTTTCTACATCGATGAAGTGTATATTTTCATTATACTTGAATTGCATGTGGGTCCAACACGTATCATAAAATCCTGATATTGATGCAGACAAGTAATTATGTAAATGGCAAACAGACAGGGGAATATAAGATAGCTTATGGGAAAAAATGAGACCTTTAAGTAAAGCAAGCCAGCTAAAGCTGACATATGGAGAGACAGCGTTTAACAGTGACAAAATGATACCGCAGTATACAAATTTGGACATCGATTCCAAACCCAAACTTGGACTGTAAATGCAGGGACAGTGTCTGTATATAAAAATTCGTTCTCAATTTTAACATAAATAGGCGCATTTAAGTAAACATCTGATAAAAATCCCTACTTTTCAATGTTTACTAGCCTCCCAAACCTTGACTTCTGGGACAACCCATGACATCGCACAATATATTGAGTTAAAAAATTGGACAACAGGATGGCAAAACATTGCAAAATGGTTCAATTGCTCTTGCGAAAATTAACTAACCATGCCAAATTTTATAACAAAACCTACAGACAAAACGTGACTGTAGCAGCATTTCACAATCCTAAAAATAAAGAAATAAACAGTGTCATTCCAGTAAACAATATCTCCTGTATAAATAACCCGATCGTGATGATTTTCGAAAGAAACCTGCCTTTTTCACCAAACAAATTCACTCAGCAAATTTTCAGTCAAACGAAAATAGTGCTTGGCACCTATGGGGCTAACGTCATCAAAATACACAAAGATTTCTATAATCTTTCATAAAACTACCCAATCGTCTCGAGACATACAGTACTACCTGGGAAACCTACTGGGTCCTTGTACTGGGTCCTTGTAAAGTAAAAAAAAATTGGCTTGACACTTAAAAGGCGAACGTCGCCAAAATACGTGAAAATGAAAACACACAAAAAAAAAAAAATCAATAAATTTCGTTAAAAAAAATTCAAATCATGCTGAAAAAAAAAACTTTTTATCTAAACAATGCTACTCACTAAGAGTCAAGCAAAACTAAAATATGGTTAGGGAGATATAAGGACTGATATTTCGGACGGCGACCGCGATGGCGATAGCGACAGTGACGACACAGACAGACAGTGATCAGATAGATATATAGACATTTGACAAATGAAAACGGGAAAATATTGATTCCTCAAAAGTATTTAACTTCCAAACTTTAACTTTAACTTAAATAAATGAATAAATAAATAAATAATCAGAAAGACCCTACCGATTCTTGTTGCATCTTCAGTGTCAGTTCTAATGCAAATTATTAAAACTGTAACCTGAAGCCAACCTGACATTATCGGATGCTTTGAATTTCACCATCCTAAGGTTTCCAAGAATTTTACCTTCGTAACGGTATTTAACGACATCCGGATTAAACGTTATGAATAAGAAAAAATATTCTAAACACATCTACATTATGTGACCTGTAGACTTATATATACAAGTTATATAAACGGACATTTACAAGCCGAGGTAATGTGTTTGGAACATACAGTGACCCGTTGCATGTTGTTTCTGACATTTTGAAAATCAGTTTGTTGACGAATGAGTATATTACAACTTTATAAGCAGTTGAGGTAATGTGTTTGGGACATATACTGAACAGTTACATGTTGCATATTGTTCCTTTTGTTTTAAAATCAGATATGTGTCTTCGAATCCTTTATCTAATATATTAGTCAGTGATTATGAGATAATACTCTTATATTACTAATATGCAGATGTCATATTGAGAAATTCCTTATATTTGAGTGAGTGGTGAAATTCATAACAGCGTAGAATTGTATCAAGTTGCTGTACAAAAGCAAGGTTCCATGTAATTGTGGCTTAAATGAAGACATCAATTTCAATAAAAAAACGATCCCCATGTAACATGTATCTAGAAATGTGTATAAATGGTAAGCCATTACTAAATTAACCAAGACATGTTAAATAGATCAAGACTTTTTATCAGATACAAACTTTACAAATTCTTTTTCCTCTTGCTCCATAGTTTCTAGCTTCTTAAAGACGTTTGTTAATTTTCCAATTTCCTCTGCGTTAAGGTGATCTAATCGAGGAGAAGGGGGCGCTACTTTAGGGATCTGCCTTTCTTCTTCCTTGTCAGCATCCGTCTTTCCCTCCATACCGTCAGCGTCCTCATCAGAATGATTGCCGGAAGAATTCCGGTCAGCGTCTGTTTTGGAATGGTCTACTTTTTGGTTCGATTTAGATGCATTTGTTAGATCGCTGAGGCTTTCATATCCTTCTGGACCTTCGTTACCCTTATTTCGAAATACCTGAAGTATTCAAGAAAAACAAACTGAACAATACTAAAATAATTCGCAGAAGATTAAAAAAAAAACAAAGTTCACAATTATCGAAAAACTGGCAGTATAAGTTATCACTAGAAGGCTTAGGCATTTCTAATTAGGCGCTCGCTCTAATTGATATTTTCAGTCTCAGAGGCCTTTTCCGCTTGCAAAATTGTAATCCTTGTAAGCATGTCAAAATAGTCTGTACTAAATATTTTATCATACGAAACAAACGGTGCAACAGGGCTTATATCCTAGGGACCTGTTTTCTATTTTTATTTCTATGCGGGTAGAAGTAGGTCGCATTCAACATTGGTTCTGCTAGAACCTAGATTCGACAAACTCCTGGAACACATGAAGAACTACGCCTGCAATATAGCGTCCACGTCACGCTACGTTTTCTCATGGCATCCCACTTTCCCTGCATATTGTGACTACGGGATATAATAGAGTGTGGTGAAAACAAACCCAATGTTAGTCTGAAACGTTTTCAATTACAACGGGACTGGGCTCCCGGGCGTGCTTTGATGGCTCAGTATCGCCACAGACCCATGTCATTATCATTCCTAATTGCCACTTGCCTGGTGACATTTAGCCTATCCTGCTGATTTTTCAAAAATTGATCTCAATTGTGGTCAAGTGTCTTGAATAAGAATGACACATATGGTGAACGATGAGCATCCAACATGATCCAACCAGTGAAGGTTCCACGCATGTCTTAAAATAGATCGCACGTCAGCAATTTTGATTCTTGTCTCGCTGATCAGACAGATAGCTAGAACAGAATATTGCAAGCTGCAAACGGACTTAATTTCATTATATTCATTATTGTACCCACGGAGTTCACTTTTGCAGGGTCTCCTAACATCGCTTCAGCTGGATGAGCATGAGCATAATTAAGGATCATTTATCTGACACCGTTTTTATTTCAATGTGCCATTTCTATTGTTTAACATACCGCAACACAGCTTGGCAGAATATTGACTTTCCTGAAGCTCACTTAATACTATAACCAGCTGTATACACAGCAACGTGATTTACACGAAAAACCCTTATCTGCCTAACCTCCTTTGTGCTCACCCCCCTCCCTTCTTCTCTCTCTCTCTCTCTCTCTCTCACACACACACACACACACACACACACACACACACACACACACACACACACACACCTGGAGATACAGACACAGGCTCAGACACACACACACATACTCGAATGCAATTTTGATGAGGCATACTTACACTCCAAGTGTAACTAGTACATACCCTTCTGAAGAAGCTTGCAACAGGCGATTTTGGTGGTGTCCCAGTGACCAAAGGCTCCGCCATTATTATTACTCCAATAGATGAAAATCCTGTTCAGTTCTATCTCTCTTTCACATACGGCACTTACGAACAGTCATATGACTGTGAACCCACCCGCATTGTGCTGCATTATTTACTGGAAGTCAGGATAATAATTACAGCAGTTTATAATGATATCCTTATTACCAGACTATGTAGATTTTGCAACATCGGCAACCGCATCGCGAGCAGCTACAGCTCAGACTGAAGGATTAACAATGGTAGCTGCCCTTGTTGGTTTGGGTCTCAGTTAACACGTTATTTAAACTGGGAATGCCAATCACTTGTCTGTATGAGAGCTGATAGCTGCTATTGCCATTCCTGCTTGCTATAGAATCTGAAAATGTGCTTCAGTCTAGAAGAGGTTCCATTGTTTTACTGGCAGTTAAGAACACATCAGCCCCAGCTTCTCGATGCTGTGCTGGCAGTAATAGACATACGCTGTAGCTTAGTTCGTTTGTCTGGTATTCATCTTGAAACGCTACCCACCCACATGCCACGGCGTACTGTTCAACATGCTATCATATAAATACAATGCCGAGGATGCTGTGCATTTTAGCTCATTGATGGATACTGAGATTGAATAATTAAATCACAAAGGAATACACGCATTAATGCAGGCTGTAAGCGATAAAAGCCTCATTGGATAATGATGAGCTCTTTATCCATACATATCATTTTTCCCTTTTCTCCTTTTTTAAAAATATTTTTCATCCTTTTACATTTTTTACTGCCAGACATTGATTGTAGGCTATTGGGTGCTACTAGAACTTCGATGGTCTGCTTTCCCCCAGTTAAGACGCTTTGTCAGGGAATTTTAATGAAACATTACTATGAAAAGAAAACAAAATAAAAATTTCCAATAAATCTATATTGATTGGCATATTTTGTAAATTGGCGTTGAAAATATTTTTGTTGAGCGTCCGTAAACAGAACAAGGACAATAGCCTATTACCTACCATACTACTGTCATCTTGATATATTTGCAAGTGTCCTTTTGAATCTTACTTTCTCTTTCTTTTAATTATTTTAATTGCTACCAATACGATTACAAACACACCACGTTAGACCGCTAGCGCTGAACTGCACACGTGGAAGCTCTCCTCTCTGTAGCATCACTAGCTTTGCATTTTACATTGCGATGATTGCTTTTTTCAAGCTTCTCTGTAGCAATGGACATCGCCCCTGAGAGATATAAAGACATGCCTTTTTTGTTGTATGGGAATGAATGCCTGTAGGACTTTCATTGCTCCATTGCATAGTTGCCCTACTTATGAAGTGTAAATCAACATCTTGTTGAATTCTCAGCCGATAGCCGGAATTCTAAAATATTGATATTAACAAGAAAGTAAATAAGACCTTCCTATAATTCATGTAATGATATTGTTAACCCATGCAAGAAGTATTTCATTTCATTGCATTTATCAAAGTCGCCGGTGAGATTCATGATCTCATTCAAGAAAAGATAAAAATTTATACATAGTTACGTGCTCTGTCGACGCGAGTAATCCGCAAACAAATGAACCATGTTCGTACCTGCTATGAATTTATATTCGATTTATGTGTAGTTGACACCGCGAGAGTAAACAGATAATGGATTCATTTTATCACCGTTGCTCGCACGCTCAGCAATGGGTCCCTAGCTGTCGCCCGGAAGCGCGTGTCTCGAGGGGTATGTGAAGAGGTGCACCTTCGTGTGACGGTAGGAATCTTAAATCTCAAATAAACATCGATACACCTCTCCATTTTATACTAGTTTTAATATGATAGGTTAAAATCAAAAATCGTCTAAAATCTATTTATTGTGATGAAAATGCTGTATCCTGTGACATACAGCATACAAGGCAAAAATATGTTGCGGTGTATCTTTCTACTATGTGCATACGACGCAGCAGAGTTAAAATTATAGGACCTGTTGCGTCATTTTTTCTCCTCGCAACCCTCGTAAGTTCAGAGATGTAAGTGAAACTGTGCGTTAGTTTTGTCTTCTACCAGACGACGGGCACACGACAACCGTACATTTTGAACCACACATGAAGAAGAATTCACGTTGACAGTTCAACAGAGAGTACTATACTGGACACCGTTGCGGTAGTGAGATGGGTGTGGCATTTCGATAGCTTGGTGATCTGAGCGTCAACGTGGCCCTTTGAGGGAAAGCCGTATAACTGTAATTGCTTTTTCTCCCTGCAAAGAGTAAATAAGGACCAGATAGTAATCCGGCAAAATTAAGTGGATTCGCACTGTTGTGGTTACTATTCTAACGGCGAATTTATGTTAATCAGATTGAAGCTTCTGACTTCCAGAAGACGTGCATTAAGGCTATATACTGCACGAGTAAAATAGCTACTTTAATAATACATATTTTGTTGTGCACCTTCACTTTTTATTAAGCAGGATAATTTAACGTATCTTTGTGACGTCAAAACAGGACTGCTTTCACGTTACTCAAAACGATTCTTAGTAACCCACCATATGTGATGGCAAGGGGAATTAACTTTTGGATTATACAGGCAAATCTGTTTCATAGAGCAGAAACTAATGCACCAGGCTGTTACAAATCACATGGACACAAGAACTTATCGCTATGCTGACAATGTAAAAGTAATATTAAGGTGAGTTTTTAGCTGTATGTTAGTAACTTAGTCAGAAGCAAAAAGCCTCATTATTAAGATATCAGGAAGGACGTGTGACACTTCTTTTTAAGTAGAAGAGAAAATGCCCAATTAATGAATGGACTCACATTTAAAACTTTCAGCCAGATTACCTTCGTCAACAAAACCGTTGTTTGTTATCATCTGCTAGATTGGCTTTGAAGTGGAGAATAATCTGAATTTCACGTATGACGCAAATCCTGCATTCCACAGAGGGCACATATTCTTTTCTTATTAATATCATGGTATTGTTAATACGTGCGCGTTTGGGTTGAGGGAAGGGGGCATGAGCTGTCTCACCGTCTCTCTAATGTCGAGGCGTTAAAAATCGCTTCAGCTTATGCAGACTTAGGGTTTGATGTTGATTTTCATTCACGTTGGAATTGGACTGAACCACCCAAACTGAATTTGCATGTAGATCTATGCTTTTAGTTGCATGATAACATGTTAGTATTTAAGAGTAAAACCGACATGTTCCTGTTGGGATATCCAGATCGATTGGAATTTTAAAACATCAAGGTTTTGTCTTTGATTTCCCCTTCTGCCTTCTGCAAGACCATTCGTGGTTACTGTGCTGGTAAGCACAATGAATCACCTTTTTTCGGGTAAGTGTCAACAATTCAACAATTATAAATAAGAGAAAAAGCCTTTGATGGTCAAGGTGAAGGTATTTATTTTAGGATGTTGATTGTATCAATTGATAAGCTGTCTTAGTACAAGGGACAGTATGTTAAGCAAGGATGGTCATTTCATGCATGCAAAATGTTTTTTTTTTTTTAATTTTTCATAAGTGTTTCATAAAAAGTTGCAAACAGCTATTCCTATGAATATAATAAAAATCTCATTTATTGTGTCTTCGGGTTCTTGTTGCAAATGGAAGAGGTGGATTGTTGGGACACGGGCTGCCTCCCTATTTAGCTTGTAACTTTAGATTTAAACCGTGATAATACGACGGAAAATAAATGTTTGGTTATGTACACCGGACCGTGTACTTCGTGAGGCAAACTAGCAAATAAATAACGATGTGTATCTGTGACCTCTTTTGATACACTGTCACCTGGCCACCCTGCTGCACTTTTTATTTCACTGAGACTTACATTTACATTTGCTATATTTCCATCACACCACAGGCGATATTCCCGCTTCATGTTGCTCCGATATGCTTCTGTTTGTCGCTTTGTTGCTTAAGAATACGAGTCTGTAATTTGCACAGTGTTTGTTTGTCGACTCCCGAATAAAACACCTTGAAGCATGCCAAATCATGAAATCATCTACTTAGGCTTAATTTACGACCAATACTGAATTGTAATAGGCCTACCATCAAACATTAGACGTTGTGTTTTCTTTTTGATTTACGTCATTGTCATGATCTCTGTATACGCGATGAGGAGACAGTTCTATTTCATTTTCATGTACTGTGCGACTCGTTTTCTGTATTCCCACGTCAGGTCTCCATGTTGTGAATGCTTAAGTATTTGATAAAAATTTGTAAAGAGCTATTCCTATGGAATTGGTTTAGTCGGGGAATCAAGTCAAATTGTATATCGCAGTGTTCAAAGAAGCTTCTCTTCTGTTGTCATCAGTTTAGCAAACAAAATCTTCTGGAAACAGGATATCCCATGTCAAGTTTTGCAAATATGGTGGTTGGGTACATTTAACCAATTCCGACAGCATCAGATAGGGTCTTAGATCAACCAGTGCGCGCAACCACCTGAGGCGGCAATCGCAGTTCCACGGGTTAGACGATATGGACAGCGAAATCAAATTCTTGAAGGGTGGATTGTAGTAAACCTGAGCAATTAAATTATAGATTTCTTAAACATTTTGTCAAAGGGAAAAGCGATGGGAGTAAAATAATCCACTGCTCTTTTTGATGGGTAATAGCAACCGAATAAAAATATGACAGGTAAATCACCGTAAATGTTTAAATTTTTTACAAGATAGCACATCTGACACAATGGGTCTCTATCGGTCGCCCATCCAATTTAATATGTGTGGTTTATATGAGTTAATCTAAAAACAAGACCTAATCATTAATTAAATGCCGGGATTTAGAAAAGGTTAAAACTGTCCTAAAACTGGGGCGCAGGTTGGGTTTCTGTAACTAGCCCACATTTTTTCTAAAATGGAACCGCTAACACAATTACCGTATCGCAATTTTAGGGAACCGTTGACTTACCTCATACTGTAAAGTTTCAAGACTGTTGTAGTCCATGTCAATGGTTGCAAGATTTCTCAAAGGGACAAAGGCATTGTCCGATATCATTATAATTTTATCCCATACAAATTAATTAACTCGAGGCTAGCGAGTCCGTCGAACATTCCGTCACTTAAATGCGTAAGATGCTTATCAGCGAGACCCAAAGTTTTCAGGTTAATCAGATTAGAAAATGCCCCAGTGTCTATTGCTGATATTTCATTTGAGGACAAATCAAGCCTTTCAAGACGTGAAATTCCTACATGTACAAAGTGGCTGGAATAGAGACTGTCAACATTATTCGCTGTAAGATCAAGGCTTTGTAGGGTTTCCGGCAAACCACTTGGAATTCGAGTCAACCTATCCGATTTAAGTTCCAAACTGGTAAGAGTAATCGCGTCTTTGAACACGCCGTACGGAATCCCAGCACTGGTGAGCGGATTTGAAAATATTTGTAACATCGAAAGGAGCGTCTGTTTAGCAAAAAAAAAAAAAAAAAAAAAAAAAAAGCCCACGGTGATATTGGTCATGCTGTTGTTAGATAACTGGAGGCTCTCCAATAAAGGGTAGCTATCGAGGTCGGTGCTAGATAAATGTGTTATCTGCAAATAAAGGTGAATTATTGAAATATTATGAGGAGGTAAAGGTGTACCGGTATTTTGTACAGTAATGAAAGGTTAAACTTCCACCGGACGAACTTTGAGCTATTATTCACGACTGCTTCTTGTTTAATTAATTTTTAAAATAATTTATTTTGAAAAGCTAATTTAGTAAGCACTGCAAGATTGCGTACCTTGTTGGTGACAAAATACCACTGCTTAATAGTTTCTGGCACATTCTGAGGAATACGAGTATAGTCATTAAACAAGTAAAGTCATTGCTACAATTAATCTTTTGGTCGTACTTTTTGAGAATTGATACAAACAGTCTTAGTATGGTTTCAGATTAGAAAATAGACAGATATTTGATACCAAAACATACAACATGGCTTTTTTAGTCTGTCTTTTACTTTTACAATGTGAAAAAGTTTTAAATTAAAATTAGGCACGTGCGCTGACCTTCAAACTTATTGGTGAGGAACACTTAACGGTTAAAGGCACCATACCTCGTGACTGTCCGAGGTGGCAGTCATGATGGCAAGATGGGTTGTGTATACTCTTTAAAAAGAGAATATGACTATTTTTTTCATCTTGTGAATATTACATAGAACCATGAAATAAATTGAGGAAAAATAGTAGTGCTTCAAAGATTATATTAAATAACAACAGCCACCAATTTTATTTCCATGCACTGGTCGTCGCACGTATTGTTTTCCATGCCAGACCAGGTATCCATGCTAATTGAAAAACCAAAGTTCTTATAAATTGTTTTGAAGCAGTTTTTTAAGAAAGTGTCAAGCAAGGAAACTATTCAAACCAGCTTCTTCCTGTTGCCATGTCATCAGCAAACAAAATCTTCTGGAAACAGGATGTCCCATGTCAAGTTCTGCAAATATGGTGGTTGCACACATTTCACAAATTCAGGAAGAAGCAGCAGATAAGGCTTTAGATCAACCAGCTCACGCAACCATCTAAGGCGACAATCGCAGTTCCACGGGTTAGACGATATGAAGAGCGAAGTCAAATTCTTGAAGGGTGGATTGTAGTAAACCTGAGCAGTTAATATATAGATTTCTTAAACATTTTGTGAAACGGAAATGATATGAGAGTAAAATAACCCACTGCTCTTTTTGATGGGTAATAGCAGCCGAATAAAAATATGACAGGTAAATGTTTAATACTCTAAAAGATAGCACATTGTCACAATAGCTCTCTATCAGTCACTCATTCCATTTTATATCTGCTTTACATTAGCTAATCCAACAATCGGTCTTTATCGTAAGTTAAATGCCGGGATTTTAAAAAAAATGTTAAAGCTGACTTAAAATCTGGGATTTAAATTTGGTTTCTTAAGGTGACCTACAATTCTTTCTAAAATGAAACTCATGACACAATTACCGTATTTGCAATTTAAATGAACCGTTAACTTACCTCATACTGTAGAGTTTCAAGACTGTTCGAGTCCAGGTCAATGGTTGCAAGATTTCTCAAAGGGACAAAGGCATTGTCCGATATCATAATCATTTTATTCCCATACAAGGAAATTGACTCGAGGCTGGCAAGTCCGTCGAACATTCCATCACTTAAATGCGTGAGATGGTTATTAGAGAGACCCAAAGTTTTCAGGTTTATCAGACTTGAAAATACCCCAGTGTCTATTGCTGATATTTCATTCGAGGACAACTCGAGTTCTCCAAGGCGTGATATTCCTATAAAGTCGCTGGAATAGAGACGACCAATATTATTTGTTGAAAGGTCAAGGGTTTGTAGGGCTTCCGGCAAACCACTTGGAATTCGAGTCAAGTTATCCGATTTAAGTTCCAAACTGGTTAGAGTAATCGCGTCTTTGAACACGCCATACGGAATCCCAGCACTGGTGAGCGGATTAGAAGATATTTGTAACACTGACAGGAGCGTCTGTTTTGCAAAAAAGCCTACGGGGATATAGGTCATGTTGTTGTTAGATAACTGGAGGGTCTCCAATAAAGGGTATCTGTCGAGGTCGGTGCTAGATAAATGTGTTATCTGCAAATAGAGGTGAATTATTGAAATATTATGTATAGGTATAGGTGTATTCCGTGCAATAATGATAGGTTAAACTTCCACCAGATGAACTTTGAGCTAGTATTCACAACCGTTTCTTGTTAATTCATTTTTCAACAATTTATTTTGAATAGCTAATTTAGAGCACTGCAAGTTTGCGTACCTTATTGGTGACAAAATACCACTGCTTAATGGTTTCTGGCACATTCTGAGGAATACGAGTATAGTCATTAAACGATAGATCAATAATCTGTAGATACTTCAGCGGGTCAAATACCCCTTGGCTCACTTTGGTATCAGAAAGGTGGTTTCCTTCAAGCCAAACGCCCTGCAAATAATTCAACAGAATTCGAGATTTTTTTTTTTTTTGCTCTGTCTATCCCACTATAATCAAATCGAAATGGAAAACAGGGAATATTCACTTTGTTGGGGTGGCTGTTACCAATAATCATGCAATTGAATAACCAAATATGTTGCAAAGTAGGCTAGGTCTACAATTTGCCATATTTTACTTAAATTTTGACATTAGAATACAGAAAATATTATACAGTTTATATGAACGTCATTTCTTGGGCAGATTATGAATTTAATCAAAAAAGCAAAATAAATCATACCGTTTAACTACCTGTAGATGGAGTATCTTGTCAAACGCCCCTGTTGGTATTTGTCCCATTTCATTAAAAGACAGATCAAGTATAACTGTATCCTCTGGAACCTCCCCCACTGGAAAAGTCCCGCGTCTGCGGATCGTGCAGTTCATATACGTTCCATTGAAAACTTTAGCGTCGATGCTGGCACCCCAAAAACAAACACACTCGTAAGGACAGACTGGCGACCACGGGGTAGGTGTCTGGCAGTCGGTACCTATTAAAAAAACCAGCCCTACAGCTAATGCTGACACAAATAAAGATCGGAGAATCATTTTGCCAGACTGTTTTCAACGTCGAAACCGACCTGTTGCTTTAGGTATCTTTGCAAATCTAGGTTATCTTGCTTCCACAAATGACTGTCGAACTTCAGTTCATCTGATTAGATAAACAGATCGAATTAGACCTTGATTTACGTTTATGACCTGTTGCTTTAGGTATCTTTGCAAATCTAGGTTATCTTGCTTCCACAAATGACTGTCGAACTTCAGTTCATCCGATTAGATAAACAGATCGAATTTGACCTTGATTTACGTGTATGAAAACCTCAACATTTCATGGACTGCTGTAAATTAATAGAGAGCGCACTTAGTTACCAAAGATGCTTTGTGCAATAACTTCAATACAGGCTTTTTACTCATTTAAATTGTGAAGCCACATAGATCTATCATTGAAAGTACATGGCATTTGGAATAATAATTCTTTGAACAATGGTGCTAGCAATGGCCATTTCCTTAAATCTCCCCAAAAATTACGTATATTTCATTTAAACAAATTATTCGAGTCACCCTTTGAAATGCTTTAAGATGTACTACATTTAAACATGTTATTATTTTGACAATTAATCTTTTGGTCATACTTTTTGAGAATTGATACAATCAGTTAACCTATGGTATTATATTAGAAAATAGAAAGTTATTTGATACCAAAAACTTGGCGTTATTAATGTCGAATTTACATACAAAAATAGGCATATGCACTGCCCTTCAAACTTATTGGTGAGGGACACTTGGCAGTTCAGTTTCAGGCATCAACCTCGTATCTATTTGAAGTTGCAGTCACCAAGGGGGGTAAATAGATAGTGTTCTTATGGTCGGAAGAGATGGGTTGTGAAATGCTATTTAAACAGGGATTTTGATTAAAATGTTCTATCCTTGTGGATATGAGTGATAATATAATTAAATACTACATGGGACAATGAGAATAAATTGAGGAAAAATAGTAGTGCTTCAAAGAATAAATGAAATATTAACAGCCACCAATTTTATTTCCATGCACTGATCGTCGCACGTATTCTGTTTTCCACGCCAGACCAGGTATCCATGCTAATTGAAAGCCCAAATTCTTATAGATTGTTTTGAAGCAGTTTTTTTATAAAAGAGTCAAGAAAGGAAACTATTCAAATCAGCTTCTTCCTGTTGCCATGCCATTAGCAAACAAAATCTTCTGGAAACAGGATGTCCCATGTCAAGTTCTGCAAATATGGTGGTTGCACACATTTTACAAATTCCGGAAGCATTAAATAAGGCTTTAGATCAACCAGCTCACGCAACCATCTAAGGCGGCAATCGCAGTTCCACGGGTTAGACGATATGAAGAGCGAAGTCAAATTCTTGAAGGGTGGATTGTAGTAAACCTGAGCAATTAAATTATAGATTTCTTAAACATTTTGTCAAACGGAAATGAGATTAGAGTAAAATAACCCACTGCTCTTTTTGGTGGGCAATAGCAACCGAATGAAAATATGACAGGTAAATGTTTAATACTCTAAAAGATAGCGCATTGTCACAATGACTTTTTATCAGTCACCCATTCCATTTAATACGTCTGCTTTACATAAGTTAATAAGATTTTGTCGTAAATTAAATGTCGGGATTTAGAAAAATGTTAAAGATGACCTGTTAAAGAACTGGGATCTAAATTTGGTTTCTTAAGGTGACCTACAAGTCTTTCTAAAATGGAACTCATGACACAATTACCGTATTTGCAATTTAAATGAACCGTTAACTTACCTCATACTGTAGAGTTTCAAGACTGTTCGAGTCCAAGTCAATGGTTGCAAGATTTCTCAAAGGGACAAAGGCATTGTCCGATATCATAATCATTTTATTCCCATACAAGGAAATTGACTCGAGGCTGGCAAGTCCGTCGAACATTCCGTCATTTAAATACGTGAGATGATTATTAGAGAGACCCAAATCTTTCAGGTTTATCAGACTTGAAAAAACCCCAGTGTCTACTGCTGATATTTCATTCGAGGACAACTCGAGCCCTCCAAGACTGGCAAGTCCGTCGAACAATCCGTCAGTTAAATGCGTGAGATAGTTATTCGAGAGACCCAAAGTTTTCAGGTTTATCAGACTTGAAAATACCCCAGTGCCTATTGCTGATATTTCATTTGAGGACAACTCGAGCCCTCCAAGGCGTGAAATTCCTACAAAGTCGCTGGAATAGAGGCGACCAATATTATTTGTTGAAAGATCAAGGGTTTGCAGGTTTTCCGGCAAACCACTTGGAATTCGAGTCAACTTATCCGATTTAAGTTCCAAACTGCTAAGACTAATCGCGTCTTTGAACACGCCATGCGGAGTCCCAGCACTGGTGAGCGGATTTGAAGATATTTGTAACACTGACAGGAGCTTCTGTTTTGCAAAAAAGCCTACGGGGATATAGGTCATGTTGTTGTTAGATAACTGGAGGGTCTCCAATAAAGGGTATCTGTCGAGGTCGGTGCTAGATAAATGTGTTATCTGCAAATAGAGGTGAATTATTGAAATATAATGTATAGGTATAGGTGCAATTATGATAGGTTAAACTTCCACCGGACGAACTTTGAGCTCGTATGCACAACCGTTTCTTGTTTAATTCATTTTTCAACAATTTATTTTGAATAGCTAATTTAGAGCACTGAATGATTGAGTACCTTATTGGTGACAAAATACCACTGCTTAATAGTTTCTGGCACATTCTGAGGAATACGAGTATAGTCATTAAACGATAGGTCAATAATCTGTAGATACTTCAGCGGATCAAATACCCCTTGGCTCACTTTGGTATCAGAAAGGTGGTTTCCTTCAAGCCAAACACCCTGCAAGTAATTCAACAGAAGTCGAGAATTTTTTACTATGTCAATCCCACTCTTATCAAATCGAAATGGAAAACAGGGAATATTCACTTTGTTGGGGTGGCTGTTACCAACAATCATGCAACCGAATAACCAAATATGTTGCAAAGTAGGCTAGGTCTGCAATTTGCCATTTATTACTTAAATTTTGGCATTAGAATACAGAAAAATATTATACAGATTATGTGAATGTCATTTCTTGGACATATTATGAAAAAAGTTATATAAATCATGCCGTTTAACTACCTGTAGATGGAGTATCTTGTCGAACGCCCCTGTCGGTATTTTTCCCATTTCATTAAAAGACAGATCAAGTATAACTGTATCCTCTGGAACCTCCCCCACTGGAAAAGGCCCGCGTCTGCGGAACGTGCAGTTCATGTACGTTCCATTGAAAACTTTGGTGTCGATGCTGGCACCCCAAAAACAAACACACTCGTAAGGGCAGACTGGCGACCACGGGGTAGGTGTCTGGCAGTCGGTAGGCCTACTTATTAAAAGAACCAGCCCTACAGCTAATGCTGACATAAATAAAGATCGGAGAATCATTTTGCCGGACTGTTTCAACGACGAAACCGACCTGTTGCTTTTGGTATCTTTGCAAATCTAGGTTATCTTGCTTCTACAAATGACTGTCGAACTTCAGTGCATCCGATTAGATAAACGAAACTTATTTGACCTTGATCATGTTTATGAAAACTTCACCATTCCATGTACTGCTGTAAATTAATAGAGAGCAGACTTAGTTACCAAAGATGCTTTGCACAATACCTACAATACAGTTTTTTTACTCGTTTTAGATTTGAATTTATCTATCAAAGTACTTTCACCACGAAGAGATTGGAATAATAAATCGTTGAACAATAGTTTTTGCAATGGTCATTTCCTTAAATCACCCCAAATATTATATATATATATACCTGTATATCATATTTAAACAAATAATGCAAGCCACCCTTTGAAATACTTTAATATGTGCTACATTTAAAAGTTATTATTTTGACAATTAATCTTTTGGTCGTACCTTTTGAGAATTGATACAATCAATAAACCTATGGTATCATATTAGAAAATAGTAGGTTATTTGATACCAAAAACTACAACTTGGCATTATTATTGTGAATTCTATATACAAAAAATTCTAGCTAAAATAGGCATATGCACTGCCCTTCAAACTTAATGGTGAGAGACACTAAGCAGTTCAGTTTCAGGCATCATACCTCGTAACTATCTGAGGTTGCAGTCACCAAGGGGTGTACTAAATAGATGGTGTTCTTATGTTCGCAAGAGATGGGTTGTACAATACTATTTAAAAAGGGATTTTGATTAAAATTTTCTAACCTTGTGAATATGAATAATAATATAATTAAATAATTCATGGAAGGATGAGAATAAATTGAGGAAAAATAGTAGTGCTTCAAAGAATAAATTAAATGATTACAGCCTCCAATTCTATTTCCATGTACTGTTAGTCGGACGTATTCTGTTTTCCATGCCAGACCAGGTATCCATGCTAATTGAAAGCCTGAATTCTTATAGACTGTTTTGAAGCGCCCTTTTATGAAAAAGTCCAGTAAGGAAAATACCCAAACCAGCTTCTCTTTTGCCATCAAATTAGCAAACAAAGTCTTCTGGAAACAGGATGCCCCATGTCAAGTTCTGCAAATATGGTGGTTGCACACATTTCACCAATTCCGGAAGAAACAGCAGATAAGGCTTCAGGTCAACCAGCGCACGCAACCATCTGAGGCGGCAATCGCAGTTCCACGGGTTAGACAATATGAACAGCGAAGTCAAATTCTTGAAGGGTGGATTATAATAAACCTAAACATATTAAAATGATATATCTATTTGACATTTGCTATCAAACGAAAAGGATATCAATAATCCACTGCTCTCTTACATTTAACAGTACCAGAAAAACCGGGCGAAAGGTAAACGTTTTGCCTTTTCGGTCATTCAGTTAATTTAACATCACGATATGATGGGTTTACAATAGTTAATCCATAATCCGTATACATATGCTTATCGCAAAGTGCACACCTGGATTTAAAACAAGATCTAAACTGAACTAAACCTTAAGCTTTACTTTATTTCGAGGGTCGGTCCAGTTTGGCCTTGAATTGGAGCCGATAGTAAAATCACACAATTACCATGTGGAAATTTTAACGAACAGTTAACTTACCTCATACTGTAATGTTTTAAGGTTGTTAGAGCCTAAGTCAATGGTTGCAAGATTCCTTAAAGGAACGAAAACATTGTCGGATATTATTTCAATGTTGTTCCCATTCAAGAATATTGACTCGAGGCTGACAAGTCCATCGAACATTCCGTCACTTAAATAACGCAGTTGGTTATAAGCGAGACCCATGCTTTTCAGATTTATCAGACTTGAAAATACCCCAATGTCTAATACTGATATTTCATTCGAGGACAACTCGAGCCTCTCAAGTCGTGAATGTCCTGCAAAGTCCCCAGGATAGAGATGGTAAATGTTATTCGTTGACAGATCAAGGGTTTGTAGGGTTTCCGGCAAACCACTTGGGATTCCAGTCAATTTATCTGATATAAGTTCCAAAGTGGTTAGACTAATAGCGTCTTTGAACACGCCATTAGGAATCCCCATGCTAGCGAGCGGGTTAGAAGAAATATGTAACACTGACAAGACTGTTTGTTTAGCAAAAAAGCCGACCGGAATATATGTGATGTTGTTGTTAGATAACTGGAGGGTCTCCAGTAGAGGGTATCTGTGGAGGTCGGTGCTGGATAAATGTGTTATCTGCAAATAGAGATGGGTCACACAAATGAAATATAAAGGTAAAGGTATATTTCGTACAGTAATGATCGGTATACCTTCCTCTGGACGAGCTTTGAGCTTAAATTGTAGTCGCAACTTGTATGATTAATAAATTTATTTACTAAGTCTCAAATATCAATTTACTGTGAAAATTATTTCGGAAATTTTAACGAGAATACGTACCTTATTGGTGTCAAAATTACACCGCTTGATTGTTTCTGGTAAATCATGAGGAATTCGAGTAAAGTTATTAAGCGATAGATCAATTATCTCTAAATGCTTCAGCGGATCAAATACCCCTTGGCTCACTTTGGTCTCGGATAGCTGGTTTCCTAATAACCAAACACCCTGAAAATAATTCAATAGAAACCAAAAATAAAAACACAAAAATAATACTGAATATGTCGTTATGGTGTTAGACAATAACCATAAACTTAAAAAACCAAAGGAGGATAGAAGTATAATAAACGTAAAAGATCACAAATCGTACCATAAAACATAAAACTCAATTAAAATAGCAAAATAAAACTTGTCACTTCACCTGTAAATGGAGTATCTTGTCAAACGCCCCTGTCGGTATTTCTTCCATATCGTTAAAAGACAGATCAAGTATAACGGTATCCTCTGGAACCTCGCCCACAGGAAATGGTCCACGTCTACGAAACGAACAGTTCATGTATGTTCCATTATAAACTTTCGGGTCGAAGCTGGCACCCCAAATACAAATACACTCGTAAGGACAGACTGGCGACCAATGGGTAGGATTCTGGCAGTTGATGCCTATTAAAAGAACTAACCCTAGAGCTAGCGTTGAGACAAATAAAAATCGCGGAATCATTTTGCCTGTTTGCAACGGCGAGCTGGACCTTCTGCTTTAGATAACTTTGAAAATCTGGGTTATATTGACATTTTGAAACCATAACCCTGTAGACATTAGGCCTATTGTATCTTATCGTTGAGATACAGTGTATGTATTCAGTTAAATAATCGAATCTAATTTGACCTTTTATCGTAAGACTAATGTAAGCTTCATCATTCCATAAACTGTTCTAAGTAAACAACCGTAGTTTATAAACAGTTTGCCATAGGGGCATTGTACAATACCTACAGTACAGGGCATTTGTTTAATTTTGAAATCCACATAGGTTAATCAATTAAAACTAAATGTAAGGTTATATGCGATGTTTAAAATAAGACACCCTTTTTCAATGGTCCTTTATGATAATTTTTAATTGAATTCACCTCGAGACTTAATGTACATTACTAAGTAAAGAATCCGATTGCAACGGTCATAAGTTTATTTCTATTCACTGTGTGTTTAATTTTCTGTTTTTCATGCCAGACCAGGTATCCATGATAATTAAAAACCTACGTTCTAATGGATTGTTTTGAAGCGCTATTTCAAAGGATGTGTCCATTAAGGAAAATATTCAAACAAGCTTCTTTTGTGTTGCCATCAGTTTAGCAAACAAAATCTTCTGGAAACAAGACGTCCCATGTCAAGTTCTGCAGATATGGCGGCTGCATACATTTCACCAATTCCGGAAGAAACAGCAGATAAGGCTTCAGGTCAACCAGCGCACGCAACCATCTGAGGCGGCAATCGCAGTTCCACGGGTTAGACGATATGAAGAGCGAAGTCAAATTCTTGAAGGGTGGATTGTACAAAACCTGAATAGTAGATTTAAATATTGTTTAAACGTTTGGATAATTAACTTATTGTCTTTTGTTTTTGGGAAAAAATCTACAGAATTCTATGGTTCATTGATTTCAAAAATGAATAAATAAATAAATGATAAAATAAAATGGCAGTGCTTACACAATTGCTCACTGGTTCACGTATAGACAATTTTATTATGTGATTTTTACAGGATATTTCTTGGGGAAGACTTGAAAAAGGTTAAAATCTTTATCAAATTTTGCAGGTACTCAAGACTAGGTCAAAAATTAATGAAAACAAAACTTAAATTGTAATTATGAATCTTTCTTAAAACTGGAACCGTAAACGGCATTGTACAAGTATCATCAACTAACCTCATACTGTAATGTTTCAAAACTGTTGGATTCCAAGTCCACAGATGCAAGGTTTCGCAAAGGGATAAAAATATTTTCCGCCATCGTTTTCAGATTATTCCCGAAGAGGTTCAATATCTCTAGGTTGACAAGTCCATTGAAAATCCCTTCACTCAAATGCGTCAGGTGGTTTTCAGAAAGAGTCAAAGTTCTTAGGTTTACCAGATCTGAAAGTGTCCCATTTTCTATCACGGATATTTTGTTCGAGTACAAGTCGAGTGTTTCAAGACGTGAAAGTCCTGTGAAGTCCCAGGGATAGAGACGGTCAATATCATTGGTTGAAAGGTCCAAGATTTGCAAGGTTCCTGGCAAACCACTTGGAATTTGGGTCAACATATCTGATTTTAGTTCTAAAGTAGTTAGTCTAATTGCATCTTTAAATAATCCATGCGGTATCCCAGCATTTGTGAGCGGATTTTCGGCTATTTGTAATACTGAGAGAACTGTCTGTTTAGCGAAAAAGCCGACGGGAATATATGTGATGTTGTTGTCAGCTAACTGGAGCATTTTCAGACTAGGGTACCTCTCGAGGTCGGTGCTAGATAAATGGCTTATCTGTAAATTGAGATGAATTGTTGAAATATAATGTAGTGCTAAATATTTATTTCGACAGTAATGACAGATCTTCCGCGGGCTAGGACAAACATATTTCATGCGATATACAGCTAGGAGCACTACAAATGTGAATGACCATGCTTTTAAAGCTATATTGGAAAGCATAACAAGAAAACCTACCTTATTGCTAACAAAATACCACTGTCTGATAGTTTCGGGCAAAATCTGGGGAATCCTAGTAAAGTTATTAAGTGATAGGTCAACAATCTCTAAATACTGTAGTGGATCAAATACCCCTTGGCTCACTGAGGTCTCTGACAGGTGGTTACCCTGAAGCCATATACCCTGAAAATGGTCGAATTGGCATCAAAATTATATTTCTAGGTTTATTTTTCTCTTATCACATCCAAATAAAAAACAGAGAACTTCTACTTGACCCAGTTCGGTTTGGCCGAGTATAGTTTTTATGTTGTGCTAAGAAGCCTACATATATGTCATATATCGCAACAACCATTTACAGAACACAAAACATCCTAAACATTTCGGTAACAAATCTTATTCAATTCATATGGATGTCACTTTCCATACAGAAGATGAGTTTAGTTTGAATAACAATGCAAAATGCGTCATTTAAATACCTGTAGGTACAGTATCTTGTCGAACGCTCCTGGCGGTATTTCTTTCATTTCATTGAAAGACAGGTCGAGTATCATCGTGTCCTCTGGAACCTCGCCCACGGGAAACGGCCCGTGGCGAATAGACGTACAATTCATGTACGTGCCATTTAGGACTTTGCCATTAAAGCTAAAACCCCAAAAACAGACACATTCGAATGGACAGACTGGTTGCCACTGGGTAGGACTTTGGCAGTTGGTGCCCATCAAAAGGCCCAATTCTACAGCTACAGCTAGAGCTAGTGTTGAGATAAGTAAAGATCGCAGAAACATCTTGCCCGAATGTTTGTAACGACGACCTATATGCGCTGCTTTAGTGGACTGGCAATCTGAGTTATCTTGGCACAATAAAACTGGACTTTGACCTTATCGGCATAATGGACCTTTACATTGTTAATTCTAACGGTTGAATAGTAAATTCGATTAAGTAACTGATTTTTGTGATAGGATTTACAAAAGTCTCATCACCATTGAATTTTTTTTTATCAGGAGGTTTTAAATTCATAATTGGACTATTGTGAAAAACAACAGAGTAATATTGTACAATCCGTACGTATGACACAGGAAATATGTTTTAAATTTCAATTTCGTAGAATTTTATTGAAGAATACGTGTTTTGACGTTAAAAGGATATATCAAAATACAGTTATTCTTTCTAAGGGACTGCAGCTTGAAACATCGCAGGCATTTGTACACACGCATCTCTAAAAAAATAGAGAAAGCCTAGTTCAGAAAAAAATCTTGATTTGCTCTAGAATTGAAGTCTGAAAATTAAACAGTTGAGTGCAGTTCTTACTTTCCGGTATATCCATAATAACTTAATGTATGCGAAATAAAATGTGTAAAAAATAATATTGTTTAACGTAAGTTTATATCCCAAATAAGGACCTAACATTGTAAACAGTACAAGTAGGATGAGGAGAAGTAGAAGCAGTAGTAGTAGTACTTCCTGCTGTTGTAGTAATTAAAGTAGTAGTAGTAGGCCTACGTGTTGTTTTTGTTGTAATTAAAATTAAAGACCAATGGGCTTGCTGTATAAAACGTACGTTGTGCTTTGATTCAACCGGGACACTGGCACATGCTGTTCTGGTGTGTACATGTAGTTCTGATGTGTGGATTGTCCCCGTATGAATGTCCAGTGAGTCCAGCAGCTATATTAAAATCTTTAGGTGCCCCTTATGCCATTCAAGCAGAATGTGACAACAGGAACTGTTGGAACAGATCGTTACATAACATTGGGTCATATGAGCACAGTAAAAGCAATGATCTATATAGAGCTCATTGGTAAAAGCCACGACAGTAAGACTAATCACTCATAAGCTTAGGGCCAACAAGTAACACACTTCTCTCCATACTTTTAGGTAACCAGTTACAATGTTGACGGTGTAACAGGAATGGAAGTCCTAGGGATGGAAGTTCGGGCTCCCATATGATAAGTACAGGTTAGGGTTAGTTGAAGCATTGGGATTAGTATGTGGGACGAATGTCACCAGTACAAAGTAATGGAAGACGGACTACGGTTCCTAGCAGACTTCCATTCCTGTTACACCTGTCACTCCAGGAAGCTATTGGTATCAGTGACTAATTACATGTACAATGCAGTATTCTTCTTGCTGATTCAACACGAAAAGTCTCCTGGAAATAACAGGTCCCATGTACTACCATTTAGGTTGATTGGTAAGGAACATTTCACTAATTCAGTTAAACCAACCAACGTGGGTCGCATGTCCATTAAAGCTCGTAACCATCTGAGGTGGCAGTCACAATTCCATGGGTTGTCGTAAATAAAAAGGGTTGTTAAGTTCGCCAGAGATGGGTTATACAAAACCTACAATAAAAGAATCTTGTTTTAACGTCAACTGAATACAAATATACAGAAAATTTCTAATATATGGTTTAATGAAATGACTACAAGATGTGAAACAAGCAAAATGTTAAGAGTTTTGATCTCTTAATTAGAGGCAGTCTGTAGAAAGGAATTACTGCATTATTCTTAAGATCTTACAAATATTATATAACTACAATGACAACCACACTACAGAGAGATATGGCTTTAAATATGGATACGAAGCTTAACTTGAAGCTAGCTCTTACCTTGTATTGCAGTGATTGTAGTTCGTTGTGAACCAGATCGATAGTGTTAACACTAATTAAAGGACCAAAGACATTATCTGCCATAGATATGATGCGGTTGCTTGACAAATCCAAATCCCTAAGATTCTTCAAACCATAAAACACACCTTCTTGTAGTATATTTAGTTTGTTGTTTATCAGATTAAGCCGTAGAAGACTGTTCATTCCGTCAAAGGTCCCAGGGTCTATCAGTTCTATCTGGTTCGAGTTCAATAACAGATTCACAAGTTTTGGAAGATTAGGGAATTCCCGTGCAAAAAGGCGGCGTATAGAGTTATAGCCGAGATCGAGGTTTGTTATCGACTGCGGTAAACCCCTTGGAATACTAGTTAGGGAATCGGATCTAAGGTCCAAAAATTGAAGTCTTCTTAATCCTTCAAATACACCTGGTGGAATTCCAGTGTCATTGAGGGGGTTGTAAGATATTCTCAAATCGACCAAGAACGATGAATAGTTAAACAGCCCGAGAGGCAAATATGAAATGTTATTAATGGACATCTCCAAGAAAGTCAAATCTGGGTATCCTTGGAGGTCCTCTGGCAACACTCGGTCAACCTGTTAATCAGAAATTAACACTGATATACCAATATCAGTGTTGGTCGAGTTTTTCTCTTATTTGTTATGTAAAGAATAAAATGTTTATCAATCGTGCGATTCATAAAAAATCACAAGGCAAGAAAATTATATAATTTGAACGCAACACGCGACGTTTTTAGGAGGGTTTGAAATGCACTTTAAGTGGCTCGCCTACATGTATGTGGCTGTTATAATAATAATAATAAAAACATACGTATAGTACCCCTATAGAACCTATTTAACGTTGCATAAGAAATGTTTGGGAGCTTTCTATTAAATCACACATAAATAAACTGTATAATAATAGAACTTAATTGCATTATTTACCTTGTTTCTTTGCACAAGTAGGCGTGTCAACCTTGATGGAAGTGTGCGTGGAATGGCTGTGAATTCGTTGAAAGACAAATCAACAGTCTCTATCGCAGTAAGCGGTTTAAACACATCTGGCGGTACATTTGAGCCCGACAACTTATTGCTCTGGAGCCAAACACCCTAAATAATATAATTACAAAAAAATCACTGGAAATTATCCCAGTAATATACATTATATGTTTATCTTGAAAATAAGACAATTTCGGACATTGTTGATGTGAAGAAAAGTACGATTTTTAGAGAGATTGGTTTACCTTGAGATTAAGACCATCGAAAGCTCCATTTGGTATACCACCCATGTTATTTAGGGAAAGATCAAGATAGTCTGTGTCCTCCGGTATTTCATTCACAGGAAAAGGTCCCTCTCGCGTGCGAGAACAATTCACTGTGGCTGTATTCAAGGCTGCTTGTCCATAACAATAGCATTTAGGCGGGCATACCGGCAACCAAGGCGTTGTAAATTGTGCCGCAATATAATACAATAGGCAAAATATCAAAATTGGAACGAGCAACTGGACAGTTCTGTCCATGGTTCTAAAATGTTCCGTCAGAACAGTTATAAAATTAGGTTATCTGAATGTTGAATTTACGTAAAGATAGAGAATATTTGTGCAGCACGATTGTGCTTAAAATAGACACTTGGAGAGCATTCACATCGAGAAGAGCCGAGGTCTAGCAAGGCCGAGACCTAAATATGGCGGACCTACATGAAAGGAAAACCGCGAAATCCTTTAATAGTCTCTCAGTGACATTCATATTGAGAGACTTATGAATGTCATTGAGAGACTATTAAAGGATTTCGCGGTTTTCCCTTCATGTAGGTCCTCCATATTTAGGTCTCGGCCTTGCTAGACCTCGGCTCTTCTCGATGTGAATGCTCCCTTAGTATTTCAACTGTTTTAACATACAGCAACATTTTAAGTCACCCACTAGAACGTATGAAAAAGTCCATGACATCGAGCAGTGTGTTCAAACATTACAGTTCTTCATTATAATTTCAAACACACTTTTTGATATAAAAAGCTAGTGAAAAAAGCATGCGGATACCTCCATCTTAATGATTTGCTAGTTAATATTGGGTAAAGATTTTCCTGTAACTTGATACTGAAATCGCAACTTTGATTTCATTCCAAACCGCCAATAGTCCAACCTAGGCTTCTCTAACACATTCATTGGAAATGCGACAGTGCATTCACTGTAAATACACACATACATGTACACATATAATTTTGGCAAGCGTAGCATACAATGTACACTGCACTGTAACAAAACTTGTTCCATGAGTTCAAGTAGCGAATAAAACATCAGGGCATATATCAAATAAGTTTTTTTAAAAAAAAGATGAAGATAGATGGCAAAATCCAAAAAAAATCCTCTCTGGTCTCACTTCATTTTCTTGTCCAGCATGATTCTATTCTGTGACGTTCAGTTAGTAATCCAATCTATCGAGGCAAAATTTAGTAGATCCTATCAACTATACAATGCGACATTCCCAGCCATGCTCATTAATCGACTTGTATTACACGTCACGATTTGACTTACGATAAGGATCAGTTGACGCTGTATATTTCCATTACCTGTTGATTTTTAGGACAGGTATCGTAAATAGCTGATGGAAGAAAATTAGGTGTTCGGAACAATACAGGTAGATTTATATAGTTTCTACCGGCAGTTGTTTATATTTTCTCTCGGTTTCCGTGAATAAGTAACGTGGCACAGATAAAGCCATGACATATCAAATGTGTATACGTGTATCTCGTTGAGGTCTCTTATTATTCCTAGCTATTTTGTTGTAGATACTGAAAAAAAAACTGTCGGGTCGAGCCTGCTTTTTGTCAGTGTACTGAATGATTTCTTTTTCATTCAATATATATGTATATATAGCAAACACAGGAGTTGATATTAAAATTGTCATTAAGCAAAATGACGAAGTTTAATATTATGATAATGAAAATAAACAAGCTTAAGAGGTATAGTATTCACAATATTGGGTAGCAACATATACAAAGTAGATTGTTCGTAAAATCACTGCAGTTTGTAACTCGCCAAAAGTGTAAGATAGCACGAAAGATGAATAATTTGATTGTAATGTCAGCAATGTTATGTTTATAACAACTTGATATCGCAGCTTTTTATTGCCACTACGTAATGCTTGAGCTTTATGTATATAACAGCAGGAAAATATATTAGGGACCTTTTAATTTGTCGCTCTCTTAACAATCTATAAAGATCAAAGTATAGAAATAAATTGCATTTTACTAGTTTCAAGTGGGTTGCCTGACAAGCAACCAAACCCAACAGCTTTAACACCTAACTCTACATTAAAATGTTTCAGGCTCACTCATTAACACCCCGCATTTATTTTCCGCAGTCTCTGAGCCCACATTATAAAGAACGCGTCGTGTTGGCATACAAACACCACAGTCTCTTTGAAAATGGCACTGAGATGAGGCTGCCAGCGACTTCAATTGTTTTGAATCTGAGACAAGACCGCAAGTGGCTGAGATTGTTTTAAGTCTGTGCAAAGATATCTGTGAGTCAACGGGATAACCGCGGTGTCGTTACGGTTGATTTCTTGCGCACAATTAAACCCAGAGGATACAGATCAAATCATCAAGGTAAATGAATACCGAGACATTAAGCTTATTGTAGTCCGTCGCTTGGTAAAAGAATTAGTGTTTATGTTGTGTTTGTCTGGCAGGTGCGTGTGTGTGTGTGTGTGTGTGTGTGTGCTTGTTCGTGAATACTTAGAAGCATATCAGTTTAGAAATGTAACTGAAATACAAATGGACGGCATCTTATTCGTTTTTCATTGTATCTCAATAAAGTTACGCAAATAGTTTTTTTTTTAGTACTGTGAATCGAAGCGACAGATTTTGAATATAGTCTCTGACCACAAAGACATCCTCACTGGGGCACAAAATGCCACACCTGCTTGAGGACGAAATGGAATAGAATGACATAATATCTTGCCATTTGCCTTATTTTCATTATTCGTACTGACTAATTGTTTACGGGATAGCAAAGAGTTTTCTTCACACCATGTATGTATAAACCTGTAATATACCACCATGATCAAATGTGAATTTTTATATATGTAAAAGAGTTTACCAATTGCCTCACTTATTATACTGACCTATTTCAGTTTGAAGGAGAGCGAGTGGAATATTTGCAGTTTAAAAAGATCAGCAGTCGACATGTTTCAGGGATTGTTGCGCAAGGTACACGAAGGCGGGGATGGAGGCGGGGTGGTTTTGAGTCGATAATTGTAATCCGTTGGGAAAAGAGGGGCTGTTTAAAATTATCTTTGAAAGCAACCCACTAAACCCACTGAATCAATGTATGTTTTGTATGTTTTTGAGCATTTTTAGGGTATTTGATCAATTGTCATTTAATATCATTAAATTTTTAATGCTTAAATAAAATGTATAAGTTTGGGTAAGGTATTGTACCATCCAGCTTCCTTTAGTTGCAAATAAACATTGTTATCGCTAAAAATAAATGAATAGAGCATCTTTAGGTATAATACATAGGCATAAACCATTGTATGTATAGGTAGTTAAAAAGGGCAGCACAGTGCCTGAGCAGCATGAAGAAGTGGCCAGAATACCAGGGGCCCCGCCGTCACCAGCTCTCAGCCACCTCAACCGAGATGAAATGGAGAAGCTCACAGAAGTGTTCAGAAGGCAAGAAGAAATGGAGAAACTAGAGCAAAAAAATATCAAGTATGTGGAAAAATGAAAAAGAATATAGAGTGTCCCGAAATATATCCCTTTATTATTATTCTATATATCACTTCCACAAACAAGTAAAGAATATTATCTGTCAAATCATAACTAATTCGTAATGAAAAATTGAATTTAATATTTATTTGGAACACATTTATTTATAATATATACATTTTTGATATAGTTAAATATAGGTATATGCAGTTTTTTTCTCTTTTATGCAGGTAGTAATCAGTAGCATCATTTCTAACTTACCAATGCATGAACGGTTCGCATTAAAATATATTCCGGCAGTAGTAATCGTATTTTACAGGATACAATCCTGACTTCGTTTAAAAAACCTTTAATTATCTACTGAGTGAAGCAAGTTAGTTGTATAATGGAATCTGACAGGGGTACCAATAGGTTCTTGGTGCCTCTCAGTTTTGGTTTCTCTAGAGCACCTGTGTACCAAGGGGTTTGAACTTCTAAGGCGGAGGTACGTTAATTTCATTGATAACCTTGACATTTATTCTCTTTCACACACAGTACACATAAAATAATATGTGAACTACATATCTTGGCTTTCCGCGTCCCAAATGTGCCATAAAATATAACACTGATTTTAGTGTGCATCGTAAGGCTCACCAAACCTGTGCATGAGAAAGCTCAACATCTGTGTCATATTTCATGGGCACATTTAGGACGAAGAAAGGCAAGATATGCAGTTCACATGGTTCACGTATTATTTTTAGTGCACGTTGCGTGAAAGAGACAAAATGACAGAATTGTCGACGAACTCAACGTACCTGATTCTTTGGAGTTCAACCCCCTTGTTTACGCTTAGGTTGATGTCAGTTTCAAGACTTATCATCCACTAATTGCCCTTTAAATCATCACTAGCTCACATAAACGATTACGACGAGAACAAGAAACCGGTATCTTTCATATGATTAAATTGATAATTGACGTGTAATTTAAAAGAGACTGTTGCCATGCTTCCGTGTATTGAACTTTCTTGGAAAACAGCTCAGGTTCGTTCTCGACAAAAATGGTCTCCATCAACAGATACAGTATAAAGTTCAGTGTCGAGATTGGTTAGACATCGTTTCAAAAAGATAGTGGTTGAAGAGGGTAGTATTATCCATCGGATCCATGCAGTGGGAGTAATGATTTTCAGTTCGCAACCACCTCAAAGCAAGCCTCAATTACTATTTCAGTCGATTTATTTTACGATCATTTAGTATGGCTAAACTTGAGATGAGAGAGGACAGTAATTGTTGATCGATTATTTTTGTTGTGTGGGCCGATGACGGTTAAACGTTGAGAACATCGTGTGTCTCGTATACACTCTACCGACAAGCAAAGATTTGAAATATGAATGAATGACGGTGAAGCATTAAAAATCCAAACGTAGTCTGTAGCCTACCTGACGGATGGCCGAAGACAATAGTCTAAATGTAATGTACCTTACCACGAATATAAATAAACAATTGACATTTAAAAATCTGGATAACGTTCTACTTACAAAGGCGTTTTAATCATTAGGATACTGAATTACGTGAATGGTGATCGTTCAGTGAGCTATTTCAAAAACTCTGGTTGCGGATCATTAAGCTTAATGTGCTCTGCGTGCAAGGCAAATTTTGATACTGTAAAATGCTGAGTCAGATATTTCTGTCACTATAGTGCGCTTTTATGTGATTTGCGGTAATCGACATCCCCCACACATTTCTAGTTTAAAGTCAATGTAAGAGAGATCAATGATCCTCTCTCTCTCTCTCTCTTTGATTTAGGACTCACGGTAGCGAAGACGTTAGCTTTCATTATTGTGATCATTTTGGAATTTATTGTTGTCAGCTTTAGACCTTTGAATCAAAATTATATTTGTCTAACACTACCAGTTAAGAAAGGGCCGTGCAGCGTGGTCGTATGTGGTTTGTTGATCTATTTTAAATAAGTTAATTAATTAATTAATTAATTGATTAATTAATTAATTAATAGATAAATAAATAAATTAAAATTCCTTGGGTACAGCTGACAGTGAATAAATCTTGTTTTTTTACCTAAAATATTTTTGAATCACCAAAACAAATAATGTTTTATGTATTTTGGACAGGAATAAAACGTTCCTTCCAAGATTAATCAAAATATACATTTTGACATGGATGGCATCAACTAATTTTAAAAATATTTAAGTTTTATTTTAATTTTTGTTTAGGAAATTAATGTCAGAGCTAGAGGCATTCGAAAAAAGTGTGAAAGAATTAGCGGCTAGCAAAAGCGGGTCCAAAGCTCTAGACATGCGACTTTGCAAACTGTGCTACAAGACAAAGTTTGCCGATGGCATAGGCCGAATTTGCCAGCATTGCCAAAAGCGTGTATGCAGCAAATGTCGACAATACCTGAAACCGACCTGGAACACAAAAAAACATAAGGTATAATAAATTTTGGTACATACAGTTATTGAAAAGTCCTTGCAATTACTGTCACTGATCAATTAGATAAATTGCATGCTGACATTTTTTTTTACTTAATACGACATCATTTGCGGATTTATGTATTTTGGAACGAAGAAAAAATGAGTATGTATGTCTGGATTGATATATGCCACAGATATCTTTCATGAGAACCGCTTTCATCCTTCAACATATATTGCCTTTCAACGTGATAAACTGAAATCGTAAACGTTTTTAATAACGCAGTGGTGATCAACGTTTCCAATTTCATATTGTCATCTGACAAGTTTAAGGATATTGACATTTGTGCTTTCTAGTTTACCAAAGGTCGCTGGGTTTGTAATCTATGCTCTATCAAATGGGAAGTGATGTGCAAGACGGGACTATGGTACCATGGACCAGAGACAATTGGTAATAAGCCGGCTGGTGCCTTCTTTGGGAAACTCCAGCGAGACTGGTGTTTTTCTGTAACGGATGGGGTGAGTTCCCCTTTAGAAATGCTATTATCCTGATAGATGAGGTAAATCTAATAATTTTGCCACAGATTTAAAAGCCTTATGTTATATGTTAGCCAACTTAATAAGACACCAGGCGTTTGTTCAAAGGTTACTGTTACGTCTCACTCTTGCAATCATTTCATTCAGGATTCCCAAATGGATTCCGACTCCTCTGTGTGTCGTCGGGGCAGAAACAACGAGTCTGCAGTCACAGATTCCGAAATGCATACATGCAACCAAACGCCCAATGAACAACATCGTCGGCGCAGCACTCCCAACGACGGAGAGTCCCGTGACCGCCGCCGTCGACTGCAGCGTCAAAGTAACAGGACGGCAGTTGTAGCACCTACAGAATCCTATTCAGACTCGGACACCGGGCAAGATCGTGATCGACAACGTACGAGAAGACGCATGACGCTTGACTCGTATGGCAGGCTAAACAGTGATGCACGTAGCAAAATCAGAACACATTTTGAACCCAGCGAGAACTCCGATTCCGACACACTTGAACAAAACCGCAGATTTAGGAAAAAAGAAGGAAGTCATGCCAATGGAGAATTTACCATAAATGTGCTGGACAATGTAAGGAAGAAGTTAGAAGCTAATGTCAGACCTAGTTCAGATTCAGAAACTGGACACACCCAAAGCCACGTCCTACCTAGGAAGCGGGTGTCGTCTATCGCAAACGGTGAATTGATTTCTAATGAATGGAACAAGGCAAGGCATAATTTACGCATAGGCGAGAAGCATAATACCGAGGCTGGTGTAAAGCACAGGCGTCGCTTACTTGGGGTGGCATCAGACGAAGATGAAGAATTTAGGGGTATCGAATCCAATCACAGAGATTCAGTGAGAAATGATGTTGGAGAAGTGCGTAACAATGGGGGCCAGAGGCAGGCGCTTCTTCTTCATCTCCAATCTCCCATCACCGCTGAAGTGGATGGTGACGTTTTCAGTAAAATGTCCAGCTTTCACGTTGATGTTAGAAACTCCATTAGACACTCGTCTGGACGACAGGAAAGCAGATCAACAGAGTCGACAACTCAAGTCTCTTTAAGCCACCCGAGGACAATGGCCAAAGTCGCTCCATTCAGTAGAGAGGTGCCACATGGCGCCAAGGAAGGCGAAAGGGGGCGGCGCCAGCTCCCTACTCTGAACATTATTCCAAATATTGGTAAATGTGTTGTTGTTCTTGTAAAGGCCAAACTATACAAACTTTTTTCTCATGTCCATTACCTTTTCAGTGTATCACATTAAAAATGGTTAGAATGCATTTTTTCATTTCATCTTAGTGCATATTTCTCACTCGCAAGTCGTACAAATATATTTCAGTTGTTTTCGGCTTAACATATGGTTAAAAGGAATTTTTTTCTTTATTTTGCTAGATGTTTCTTTGATGGGAGAGGTTTTGCAAGTAACCTTGCAAAGATCCAGTGAAGAGGCCATGTGCAGCAGTAAGTATTAAAAATAAGTCGTATAATAAAGTTACATTTTCTGTTCCTCGTGCTGTTCCGTACACATTTTTTATCAGTGAGACATTGGACACGAATTTGTGTACATTTCATTCATTATAGGGGAATTTCTGACGCTTAATTTGTAAAAAGAAAGGGGTGTTTTGCCTATTGCCTCCTTTAGAATACATTACAACTCTAAATTTAATTGAAAAGCGAAACTTTTTTAATTTAGAGCCTGTTTGATATGTATACATAAGTAGAAAAGTAAAAAAATGTCATAATAATGAGTACATCTCACCAGTGACAAATTAATTTTTGAATTGTTGTGGTACGTGTTCTCTTATTTCAGACTTTGGTTTCGGCGTGCGAGTTGTCGGCGGCAAGATAAGTGAGAATGGAATACTTTACGCTTATATTGCGAGAATCGTTGCGGGTAGTCCTGCTGACGTAGAGGGTAACGTTTCAGTAGGTAAGCCTGCCTCTCTCTCTCTCTCTCTCTCTCTCATTAAAATTGGACCACTGACCTGTACATGTAGGCATCAAATAAGTAAGAACTTTTAATCAAAATCAAATTAATTTTGGTTGCACTGATATACGTCATATACTTTTAGGGGATGCAGTTCTGGAATGGAATAACCAGTCTCTTATTAACTTGACGTTTGAAGCTACTCAACAAATCATCCACTCCTCATACGTTCAGGAAAGTGTTCATCTCCTAATTAGCCGGGTTCAGAAGAGGTAAAAAGAAGCAGCATGTATATAAAAGTTGTCTTATGATGCATTAAACCCTTAAAGTTTTAGAAAATGAATGCCAAGCTTTATGTCAATGAACTTACTTCATGTTCACAAGCATACGTTCTTAGTGCTTTAAGCCATGTTACCGTGTCAACATCAAGGGCCTCACTGTTTGTTTGATGTTCTATACACTAGCTGTTTGACTACATCGGTGGACGCATATCAGCAAGTACCGATACTGCAATACATTTCTGCTTAATTTTCTTAAGTACCATAAACCTTCATAACACGTATAACTTCATTATTTTAATACTGAATCACTCACCTGTTGTTTTAATAATCATTTTCAGAGCCTCGTTGTTACACTCGAGAAAAACACTACAGTTGAGTGAACATGGAAAAGGAGATCGTTTTTCAGGTGAAAAAAACTAGACTAAGCAAACTGAGTGAATTTAATTATAGTTTATTTTTGTCTGTCTGTGTGAAATCCTGCGTGTAGAAAATGAAATGTGGGCTCAATACCTCAAGACATTAACTACAATGGTTCATCCAGGGGTGCCTCCAACTAAACGGGTATGTACCCCTTCCCTCTCCTCCCCCAAAAAATCGGTCTAAAAAAGCGTAACCAGACCAATATGGTTTCCATCCCCGTGCTCTTAAGGGGTCTAGGATATTAACGAAAAAGTCCAAAACTAATGCAGCTAATTAAATTTCCTGTTAACTAAAGGATATGGTCTAGCAAGCAAAACAATTTTCCAAAGTTTGTAGTCACAGTGTAACACGAGTGACGTAATATCAGCGTTTTGGGGCTAAAATTGTCATTTTTTTAATCAAGATTTTCTCTTAAACAAAAAGCACTATAAATACGATTGAAATAGCTATCTTAGGTCAGCACATAAACCAGTAAACTCTGGCAGGATTTTCTCTTATTATTTTTACGTTTGATTTTATTTTGATAAAACGTGAATTTTACGAAATATATATGGACCATCCACTTTCAGTATTAATAACTTCAAAAATAAAAAGTCAATCAAGAACCCAAGACGCAGTCGACTAGATATTATACTGAAACACAGACACATCAACTTTCATGTCAATCTGACAGGAAAAGATATGGGGATTGAAGTTTAGACTATGTTATCAATCTTCAAAGCTGAGAAATCGCTCATAAACCATTTGTCTCAGGCAATTGGGCTAATTTAGCAAGCTAATTGCACCTCCACCTTACCTGTTATCATCTTATTGATCGGGAAGGTCTATACACCATTACGTGTTAAAATTGGGTTGTTTGTTTCTATCTAGATGCCAGAAAATCTTACTTTTGTACGCAAACTTATTCGCACCACGAAAGCCGCTCTTCCCTGAGAAATGATTGACAGCTGAGTAGGCCTTCCTACTCTCGTTTCACTGACGTAATTAATCATAATTGTGCCTGACGCAGTAGGAGTCTGTGCACTGTCTAGGAAGTGTCTAAGGAAGCGCTAACAAACAAAAAGAAAATTACTTGAGGTGCAAGCAGAGGACAATGCCACCCGTCGTGCGTGGACGCCGCTCTTCACACCAAGACGCGAAAATGGAGAAAGCAAAGAAAGAATTACTCCGAGAAACGGCCGAATGTGGGTACGTATCAGCCACGATGCCACAGAGTGCCGAGACCGTAATAGGCGAGTTTGAAAATGTTTTGGGTGGCAATATTATTTATAAACTTGCTTGCTGTTACGATCTTTATTGTGAATAAAATGATTGCCTAACGATTTTTTTCTGACAACCCCAGACGTTGTACTCAGCAGCTCAAGTGTGATCTTGACGTGACGTGATTGAGACGCTAAGGGAAAAAAGTTAATATATTGTTAACAATGTAAAAAATGGAAACAATATAATCTCAGTTTAGCTGACGTAAGACTTATGAGCTGCCAGTGCACGCGTAACAGCTGAAGACAAGTTAGACAACCATTCTTGCCCCGCCCCCCATAGTAACGGTGCTTGACAACGGAGGCCGAGCCTAAAGGCTGCCACGGACAGGTAGAAAAACTCGTCCAAATGTATATTTTTAGTCCGTGTTGCAAAAATATAACTTAATTGAGTATTAGATACAATATTGATTATTTCTAACGTATAAAAAACTAAAAATCGAGTTTAAGACGTATTTTTAATATCCTTGACCCCTTAATACTCGCCCTCTGTTTTAATCCCCCTAGCAAAATCTCTAATCCAGTACCATTGTACATTATAGATTCAATCAATATGCTTCTTTTCAGATATCAACGATTATGACAGTAATCGTCGACACACGGACCACTTTCAATTCGAAGTGAGGGCAACAGAAACTAGAAAACACCGACTTTTGCCGCCAACTCCAGTGAGTAAAATTATCTTAATATACATGTAGATATTATTTCGTGCGATATTCAAACCAGGTATAGTCCAACAGAGCCGATAAATATTAAGGCCAGTCAATGTTGCTTTTGGTAATGTATATTCGATTTTGGTAAAACTTTAAATGCGTTGCCATGAGACATATCCCAAGCTACATGTGTGTAAGAGGAAAACGGAAAATTCGTCTTAAATTCACAAATAATTGTACTACTGTATATCCTTTTCTGCCCTTTTCTAATTAAGCTTTCTGTTAATCATTTCCTTATCAGCATATTCGCAACTTTTTTATATCCATTACCTAAATACATATCTAGTTGATTGCCTATTGTTATAGGCGAAAATCAGATTTCACACTTTTAATTGTATCTCAGAAGAATATGAAAACTAGCAATTTCTTGATCTTAAGTTTAGTTAAAACTAATTTCGTTTCCACCATTATAAGACTCTTTTGCAGAGCTGCCTTAGCACATGTACACAATCCGTTTTATTTTTGTTCAGGGCGAGGCAGTTCCCCTGTAAAGATACTGTAACTACCAGCTCATCTTTTAAATAACCCTGCCCATATAGGCAATTTTACATAGAGTAAAAAAGTGTAATTCTTATCTAGGCAGTCTGAGTTTTATTTATTTATTTATTTTATTCTATTCTAGATTGAATCATTGAACACCAAGAGCATATACCATGCTAAAAAATCTTAACAAATTATCATTGTCAAGTTGACTTAAAAATAGAAAAGCCCAAATCAATGAAGTCATTTTACTTTTCTTTGTTAAATGAGTCGTTTGTAAAAGAGCTAAACCAAATGAATAATATGAAACTCTCATTTCATTACTTTTAAAACAAGTCACGTAATGCGTTTGCAAAAATACTTTTCTTTCTATTTATGTATCCCGGCAGACATCAGAGAAAGAAGAGATGTTGCGGTTTTGTATACATGTGTACATGTACACTTTACTTATTGCCAAAATTGCTTTTGATACTTGATAGCAGACACGGATGAATTTTCGCTCTTTTTGATTCAAGAAGTAATTCCTAAGATTTTAAATAACAGAAAAAAAAAAACTTAATTGAATATGCAAGTTTGCACGGATAGCAATCACTTTAAAAAATAAGTAGGACCTTTGGCACGTCATGTGAGTACATTCTATAATGATAGACAATAGGATGAATTGAAAAGTCCCATTGGACTTGTATTCTTTGAACTAAATGTCAACCCCTCATCAATACTGAGAAGTCAATTCATCCAATCAATCCAGGTTGACTCAGTGCGGCCATCAACATCGGCCACAGGAAGGTTGGAGGTTCAAGTACGATACGAGATGGCCTCGGTAAAAGTAACTGTAAGGCAGGCCAGTGGATTGAAGAGAGAAACTAATGAAAGTGGCCAACTTGATCTTCCCAATCCATACGTGAAAGTCAGCCTACTCCCTGGAAGATGGTAGGGTCTTTCACTTAGACCCCATTCCCACAGATTTTAGGTCGATCTATCCCTGTGGGGAGTCTCACTAGATTAATGTCAGCTTAGCCGGCTTAAATGTCTGTCCCGCCTACTAAAAGCTGTAAGGGGGTGATTTACTACCGTGCGCGCTCGGCTGACAGCAATTTAGCGTGAACCCCCAGGGAGTTAGGTCGATCTAGATGGATCGATCTAAATCTATGGGAATGCAGTCTTAAACATAAAATGTGCAATATTTACTTATATTTAACCGCAAAAATAGAAGATTGTTGCCATTGACACAAAAACTGGTATCGTAACATCCTTTAAATGATTTGGAAAATCTCATTTCTTATTATTATTTTGAGCTTGGTATGAATTTAAAAGCATTGCATTTTTATGTTTGTTTTTTATTCAATGTATCTTGTGTGGTGCAGGCAGTATCCCGTTCACAGAACTGAAACTCTCACTGTGAATGCAGCACCGGTGTGGAATAAGATGTTCGTCTATTATGATATTACTGAGGAAGAGGTAGGCGTTCTATTAATAAAGCTTTGGTTACCAGTAGGTCTAGATCTTTTCGCAGAATACTTTTTTTTCTCCGCAGTAGCGAGAAAATATTATCTATTTTTCGTTATTAACGTTTGCTCGTTTAAAAAGTCTTAAGAATTATAAGCATCCTTTGAACAAGGACCCATCAAATAGGGCCCAAGCTTTGAACGAGAAGCTATTCGCTGCATGATTTTATATAATGATCTGTGAAGCGTATTTTTCTTGTATGTGTCGTAATATGCGTGTTCTCCCTTTATGACAGTTGCATACCAAGTCCCTTGAATTTACTTTGTGGGACTATCACCCCAAAGAAAACAATACTTTTATGGGAGAAGTGGTGCTTGATTTGAATGCGGTAAATTTGGATGGCCTTGCTCAGTGGTACAACCTAACACCACACGATGAAAACAATGGACAGCTTATGCAGCCAACTCCCAAAAAGAGTGATCAGAAAGGGGTAAGCGAGTTTACAAAAGAGGCAGTGATAACCACAGTTTTATTTATGTATTTAACATTTTATGAGCACTAAACAGAGGATGTAAAAATATAACGGTGAAGCATCTGATCGCAGTTTCAAAAGCTTTATGTGAGTGACCCTTACTATATCTTTACGTGATTTATTGGTAAAATTTTTGAAGCTCTTTTATGATGTAAAATTGTATTGAAAGTCTTTCAGCTAGACTTGAACTGAAATGGGGCTTTCTCTGTTGTATTGTAATAAAGGAATCTGAACCAGCAGAAGACATTCAGACGCCTGTTCCTCCAATGCCAGCTCACGAGAGAGCCAAGTCTCTTCTGAAAACACACCACCGAGGATCGGGTACTTATTTCTTTAATTCGAACCTGTTTCACACGAAAAACCTGCTCTGACGCAAATTAAAGCCAAAACAACTTCCTTCTGCTAATACGTTCTAGGAAATGTTTATGATATGAAGTGCAAACAACATCTCATCAAATTTTTACCAGAAATGAAATTTAAAAAAAAATGTACGAGACGTTGAACAAGAGACGCAATTACCACATAAATGCAGTGATCAACAACAAACTGTCANGTACATTCTATAATGATAGACAATAGGATGAATTGAAAAGTCCCATTGGACTTGTATTCTTTGAACTAAATGTCAACCCCTCATCAATACTGAGAAGTCAATTCATCCAATCAATCCAGGTTGACTCAGTGCGGCCATCAACATCGGCCACAGGAAGGTTGGAGGTTCAAGTACGATACGAGATGGCCTCGGTAAAAGTAACTGTAAGGCAGGCCAGTGGATTGAAGAGAGAAACTAATGAAAGTGGCCAACTTGATCTTCCCAATCCATACGTGAAAGTCAGCCTACTCCCTGGAAGATGGTAGGGTCTTTCACTTAGACCCCATTCCCACAGATTTTAGGTCGATCTATCCCTGTGGGGAGTCTCACTAGATTAATGTCAGCTTAGCCGGCTTAAATGTCTGTCCCGCCTACTAAAAGCTGTAAGGGGGTGATTTACTACCGTGCGCGCTCGGCTGACAGCAATTTAGCGTGAACCCCCAGGGAGTTAGGTCGATCTAGATGGATCGATCTAAATCTATGGGAATGCAGTCTTAAACATAAAATGTGCAATATTTACTTACATTTAACCGCAAAAATAGAAGATTGTTGCCATTGACACAAAAACTGGTATCGTAACATCCTTTAAATGATTTGGAAAATCTCATTTCTTATTATTATTTTGAGCTTGGTATGAATTTAAAAGCATTGCATTTTTATGTTTGTTTTTTATTCAATGTATCTTGTGTGGTGCAGGCAGTATCCCGTTCACAGAACTGAAACTCTCACTGTGAATGCAGCACCGGTGTGGAATAAGATGTTCGTCTATTATGATATTACTGAGGAAGAGGTAGGCGTTCTATTAATAAAGCTTTGGTTACCAGTAGGTCTAGATCTTTTCGCAGAATACTTTTTTTTCTCCGCAGTAGCGAGAAAATATTATCTATTTTTCGTTATTAACGTTTGCTCGTTTAAAAAGTCTTAAGAATTATAAGCATCCTTTGAACAAGGACCCATCAAATAGGGTCCAAGCTTTGAACGAGAAGCTATTCGCTGCATGATTTTATATAATGATCTGTGAAACGTATTTTTCTTGTATGTGTCGTAATATGCGTGTTCTCCCTTTATGACAGTTGCATACCAAGTCCCTTGAATTTACTTTGTGGGACTATCACCCCAAAGAAAACAATACTTTTATGGGAGAAGTGGTGCTTGATTTGAATGCGGTAAATTTGGATGGCCTTGCTCAGTGGTACAACCTAACACCACACGATGAAAACAATGGACAGCTTATGCAGCCAACTCCCAAAAAGAGTGATCAGAAAGGGGTAAGCGAGTTTACAAAAGAGGCAGTGATAACCACAGTTTTATTTATGTATTTAACATTTTATGAGCACTAAACAGAGGATGTAAAAATATAACGGTGAAGCATCTGATCGCAGTTTCAAAAGCTTTATGTGAGTGACCCTTACTATATCTTTACGTGATTTATTGGTAAAATTTTTGAAGCTCTTTTATGATGTAAAATTGTATTGAAAGTCTTTCAGCTAGACTTGAACTGAAATGGGGCTTTCTCTGTTGTATTGTAATAAAGGAATCTGAACCAGCAGAAGACATTCAGACGCCTGTTCCTCCAATGCCAGCTCACGAGAGAGCCAAGTCTCTTCTGAAAACACACCACCGAGGATCGGGTACTTATTTCTTTAATTCGAACCTGTTTCACACGAAAAACCTGCTCTGACGCAAATTAAAGCCAAAACAACTTCCTTCTGCTAATACGTTCTAGGAAATGTTTATGATATGAAGTGCAAACAACATCTCATCAAATTTTTACCAGAAATGAAATTTAAAAAAAAATGTACGAGACGTTGAACAAGAGACGCAATTACCACATAAATGCAGTGATCAACAACAAACTGTCAAAACTAGAGGAAGTCAATTATGTCTGCGTAACGCTTATTGGTGTTTTTGTATCGTATTAGGGACTCTTAAGCGTTTTCTGCAGAGGCACCTCACGCGAAGCTCGTTAACATCTCCTACGTCCTCATTACGCAGCAGTGTTCAAGGTAATATTCATTAGCATTTTCCTTCGTGAGTCCTAGGCCAGGACTTGTCTTACTAGTAACTACGTATACATTTTTTAAGCATTTTTTGTTTTTCCACAAGACAAAAGAAAGTTTGTGCTGATGATAAATTGAAAGCCACAGCAGGGAATGAGCAGAGCAAACTTTGCATACAAATTTAATGCCTTGCCCATAAACCAATGCTATGGACAATTAACTTTTTATTTACTCGATTATGAATGACAACACCAAAGTGTGTAAGGTAAAGAAATGTCTTGAAATGCCATTGATAATAGGCCAAGGGCTTACAGATACTTTTAGAAACCAACCATAGGTTCACCCGCCATGGATTAATAACAGGTACATTATAAATTTTTGTTATCCTTTTTGTAGATTTTACAAATCGGCACTCCCCTTTACCCGAATCACATTGCCATTTTACAATGTCCGGTTGTGTATTATGTTGAAAATTTTGTGTTTTATTTTTGTTACAATATTCTAGGAAGGGACTTGCATTTGTCTGACAGCGAGCTATCCGATCATACCCAAACTACAAGTCAGGACTATACTGCGCTGCGAGGTATATTGAATGATGAATCCTGCCCTTGTTGTGTATGGTTTCCTTTATTTAAAGTTCATAAAGGCATAAACAGTCAGGTGTGGAACATATAAAAACGCGCGCGCGCACAAACAGAGCGAGAAAGAAAGGGGGGGGGGGGGGTTCAAAACCACTTTTCTGATGTTATAGTATTTGACGTCAATTTTCTGAAAACTGTTCATGTCTTTATGCAGCTTATGCTTTCAAAATACCCTGTAACAGTAATATTGTTGTATCAAATGTCAAATATAGTGATTAAAATTAAGCATGCGTTCAGTTGTGTATGTTATCATTTTTTGCATGTGGGTAAATAAAAAATGTGATTTAACGCAAGTTAGATAAAAGATAAAACAAAATGTAATGTTTACCTGTTACTAGAACTGTTAATTTTTTGGCCACAATGACCACTTTTTGCACCAAAATGAGCACGGTGAATAATCTTTATTATGGAAGAATTCAATCCTGTAAAATGCACGTTTGTATTTCTTAGTCACGTTTATATTTCCAACCACGCATGCTTGTAACGTAGACACTCCTTAATTGCTATTGCGATTTGCTTAAAGATCCAATTTATCTAGCTAGTAAAAACAATCTGCAATTTGATCATTTCCTTGCCTCTTCTATCCTGTGAAACGAAAAAGAATCAAATTTTTGAAATGTCAACCCACTTAGGTTGATGAGCGTAGGCCTATTGCGTGCATTAAGCTCCAGCTCCTCATGTGATAACACTGCGGCATTACGTAGATGCGCGTCAAACATAACGATTGCTTGGAATTGACGTCTACACGGTTTAGATATAGTAGACATTTCGAAAGTATTAATTGGAGATCACACATCACATTTTCGTTAAATAAAAGAAGACACAGACTACTTGGTATTGCCTAAACCTTGCTAAGAAACTGGGAAAATAAGTGATGGGGCACCATCTTTTATTGAAAACATTTTGGAAGAAAAGGGCAGCTGATTAAACATATAATACAAATTAAGACGCACAAAATATTTAAAGGTCCGGAACCTGCTTGTTGAATAGTGCCTGCCTGAAAGGAAAATTATTTTCTTCTCTAAAACAAGAGAGAAAAAAAGAAAACAAAATTTATAAAGTTTTGTGTGATATTTGATTTTTATATTGAAACTGTGTTGTGGTACTAGCTGGTTTTATTTTGCTTACTGCTGGATAAAAAAAATGGCCTGATAGGCCTTACTAAAACACTAAGTAACAGTTGCACCCCGTCGCACTTACTGCCGTGCTACCACACCACGCTCTTCATTTCTTAATGGAATTTACACAGTATGTTGTTCTACAGGCAAAATTGTCGTTGAAAATGACAATGCATTGAGAAGGACCACGTCGGCTAAAAGTTACAAATCAAAAATGAAACGGCGCCTGAAACGATACATGAGCATCGGTAGGTACATGTACGCATGTATTTATTCTAAGAATCGTGTATAAGCCTGCCTAAAAATGAAGCCTCTGAGTTTAAAAGATATAGGCCAATTCCCTGAAATTAATAATTAGGCCTATGTAGTCCTCACTACGCATATATAAACTCTACGAGTAGCATAAAACAAGACCAAAATTCCTGGGACACACACCCCATGAAATGGGCGATAGACACATGGAACAGTAGGCCTACTCATATTGACGAGGCACATGGCATGGACACGAAGATTTAAAATACGTACAAAGAGATAAGTACAAAGTTTAGAAAAGTATCAATTAGTCTTGTTCTGGCCTTGATTTCTTATGTGATTGCTTTTTCTTATTTCCTTTACTACTTTGATGATTGTTCTGGCGTGTGCTTTTCACTTTCTATTCACACCTTTTTTTTTCTGTTGTGATTAAATGTTAACGTTTTGATGATCTGCTTACATATGGACATGGATATCATCTTTAAATAACAGTGAACAAAGACTTGTTGTGTGTCTATTCGCAGTCAAAAATAGGTTAATGGGTCGTAATTGCCAACGATTTTGTATCATGGCATACCTTGGTGATTCAGGGGAAAGAGCTGAAATTTCCAGGAAAAGCACATTTTGTTATATAGGGGTCCAGCGCTCATTGTGTGCCTTTAAAACGAACCGTAAAGTAAACATTATATATATTTTAGACAACTCTGATATTTCCCAACTTCCATGCAACTCTGAGAGTATAAGCAGTACCCCAGTGTGCAATACAGTGCCAAGTAAGTACCTATACGTGTTAAAAGAAATAAAGTGTTTTCACCACAGGCCATTTAATACGAGCGCAGACGATGGAAAAATACCAATTTAATGGTTAAACTGTTAAAACCAAAGTGTAAAGTTGGGATATAAAATTAATGAATGTCAAATTATGTTTAATCCGCTTTCGTCGCCTTTGAAATGGCAGGCACGTGTATGTTAACGTGTATGTTAAAGGTGTAAAGTTCAACATTGACACCTTTAAATGCCTTCCTCACAATAAAACAAAAACGTTTCGATCGTAGTTAAATAATGTCAATTTTTCCAAGATACCCCAGATTGCAACAACATAACAGAAAGTCGAAAAAACAGTGAGAAAAGCGATCTGTCTGAGAGTGATGTGGATAACTACTTTAGGTAAAGTATTTCAAATTTAATAAAACATCTGTAAGAGGAAGATCATAAATCCTCTAAAGAAGAAGGTTAGTGTACAAACTAGAGAAGGCTTTCACTACTAAGTGAGAATGCATTAAATAAAATAACAAGGTTCTTTCAAACTTGTGAAAAGCCTTATCTCTCATGATATAATTTTTAAAATACTTCTTAAAAAGAAACGTTCTACGATACTAGCCATGCATCTAATGGCACTGGGGCTTGATAAACCTTTTCAACCCTGTCTTATATTTATATTTTAGTGATTTCAAGGAGCGTCACGCACCCAAGTCACAAGTCACTGTTGACCCTGGACTAGGGCCCGGGCAAGTGCAGCTCCCAGCAGGTGAATTGCTTGATAAATTCTGTATCAGACGATTTTGATTTTATTTGCATTTCATTGTATATTAAAACGGTTTTTATGGAGGCGTTAAGTCTGTGGTAGCTTTAAAAGATTTTCTGTGTAGTTGGTGCATCTACCGATATCGGAGTGAAACGTAAACGTATGCGTTGCTTGTCTTGTATTAAACACGTCTTTTTGAGAATTAGTTTTATGGAAAGCTGGTCGTTTTCGACAGCTTTCTAAAATGTATTCATTTTCTCAAAGCGTAGTCCGCTTCAACCCCGACTTTTGTATTGGGATAAGACGTCTAAATGTGTAACACATTTAATAACTTATCATTTCATATCATAACATTTATTAGATTAATTATCCACGACTGGCGCTTCAAACAACTGCATAATATTGTACTTTTTAATTGAAATTTTTAATTTTTCAAATTTCGCTTCCACACGGAACCCTTGCCGATATTTTAATGCATTTTATTGCGTTCCATTCTATTGTAAGGATACACTACTGCAATTTTATCCAATTTTTAGAAGCGCCAACTGTGCTGTAAGTCAATTTGCAAGCAGACACTCTAGTGCATCGCATACTTTTCTCTACCAGACGCCTCTCTAACTTTTACGAAATTGAACGACGCACGACGTACAGTTTTGCAAAGGCTAGACGGATATTTTGTAGAGAGTAATTCCATGAAGTGGGCGATCCGTTTTGTAGCTAATACATATACAACCACCTCTATTTCAGACAGGCTAGGTCAAGGTGCTGTGAAATTACGGTTTACAGTTACTAAAGGAAACTTGGAGGTGGATATATTCTGTGCGAAAGGATTACCAGTAAATAACAACGAAATTCCTGGTAAGCGTATCAGATGGCTCGATTGCGACGTGCTACACGTAGCTTCCTTTCTATGACTTCCTATCTAGAATTTCAACCAATTCCAGTTATACGGTATTACCTTACTAATAAAACATGTGCAAATAACGAAAGAAAAAATAATCTAGAAACTTGTCTCCTGAACTGGCCCTACTCACATAATATTAGATTGATTGTACTTGAATTTCAGACACATACGTGAAGACCTATTTGCGACAGGGACAGAAACGGTTTCAGAAACGAAAAACGCGGATTGTGAGGAAGTCCTTAGATCCTGTTTACAAGGAGAAGATCAATTACTTAGCACGGGATGTCCATGGGAGACATTTACAGGTACAAAAACAGCAGGTGTATGCTCTATAACAAATTAATACGAACTTGTACGTACATGTGTAGTGCTCGGCACCTTTATGAAACCTTCCTGTTCCGTGCCACCTTCCAATTAAGCACAAGCGTTTCAGAATGGAAGTGGTTTCTTTGAAATTATTGCCGTCAAGTTCTTTTGCAATTTTTCAGACTATAAGATTAAAATCATGCCCCCCCCCCCCCCCCAACACACACACAAAGTGCTATACAAATTATCATAATATTACCACACTTCTTTCGACCTGCTGTCTATTTTATCCTCTATATTCTTGGTTAACATTTCTTCCAGGTCATGATCTGGGTAAAGCAAGGTGGTTTTGAGAAGAACCAGTGTCTTGGTGAAGTGATCGTCAACATGGACATGCTGAATATAAACTGTACCAAACACAGGACAGGCTGGTACATGTTGTACCAACACCTACCTGATAACTTTGGCTCTAACGACTCACTAAATAACATGTTTTAAAGCCACATTATGGACGTGAGATCTTTATATTGCAAAACTTTAATATCCTGGGAATTTAAGCAAATTTCCCTTAATTACAAACGTATACCGTATTAAATACCATCAACAAATTACGATGTATAAACCGGTTTTTGATTTCTTAAGTTTCTTATTTTTGGCCCATTCTTATAATGGAAATGGGGGCTGGTGAATTTTAATGGTAACGATAAAAATAGATATAAAGAGCTTGAAAATGGATATAAAGACAGTTATGTTTTGAAAGGTTTTGAATAGGGTATACCTTGGTGATGAGGGTGAAATTGCTGAAATTCCAAGGATTTTCTTTGCGACATGAGGTCTTGTGCACATTGTATACATTACGCAATCTGTAAAATGTTTCATTTTCACATAACACCGTTATTTTTTTTTTTTTATTTTTTTTTTTTTTGCATAAGACCCACAGCAAATTATATCGTCACCTCCTTTATGTTCCTTTATGTTTTCCACGTTTTGTCAGCCACAGAAAGGAAACTAAGAGAATGCTGATATTAAAATTAAATGTCAAATTTGTTATTGTACAGTATACTGTAAAAATACCTTCACTGCTGCACAAATACTTATAATACAGGATTCCAAGTATAGTATTATTGTGTGTGAAAACTCCATGAATTTAACAATATATCATGTTTAACAAGCAATATAAAAATAATATTATTTTTGTTATATGAAACCATGGATATAAAAAGCTAACTGGTGCTTATTTTGGAAATCAGTCTTCTGTAGCCAATAATTGAGTCTCATCTGAAATTTGAATGAACATTCCAAATGTTATTTGCAGGCAGATATCTGCTTTTGAATTTTTTAACAAGATTTCTGTCTTTAGTATCAATCTAATACAGACATGGCTAGTAGAACATTTCGAGATTCAACTTTTTATACATATCCATTATTTTTTGGGGATAGAAACTCTCTCATAAAACTTTTAATCAGTACATTATCAACCAAGTCAAACATGTCAAGTATTATTTTGTATGTAGTATGGATCAGACATTCTTTTAAATACTGCTAAAAATTTGTCCCCTTTGTTTCTTGTCACTTTCTTTCCTTCCTCTGTGCTTTCATATAACTTCTCCACAACGGGGTCATCTTTCTGAAACACAGATATATTTATATTATTTACTATAGAGGCACTTGTTGATAAGTTCACTCATTTTTACTTACCTAGTTACACTGTGGTAAGTGGTGTGAGAAAGGGTGACACAAAGAGCAGGGATAAGAATGAGCCCTAACACAGCCATTCACTTAACAGAACAAATACACAATAACTGAGGTCATTTAATCAAATTTCACGATATATTTTCCATCTCTTCTTACCAATTGTTCTGTGGTCATCCTTTCAAAGAGAGGGTGGTCACTGAAGTGTTGGACCATCCACGTATGCACTTCCTCAACATCAGTGATGGTGTAGACTATCCCCTATATGTACAATGATATTCTTAATTTCTAGCTTTTAATAATGACAAAAATTACTTTTTCCAAGATAAAATAACAGAAAATGTAAAAATACTTCAAAACATTTTAGAAGCATTTTCTAAAGCAAAGACTACAGTTAACTGTTGTAAGTGTAAAGGACAGACAGCTTGTGCAATACGTAACAGTTTTTAGATTTAAAAACCAAACAGAACATTTGCACATTTATCACACAGACCTCTTCTCTCAAAACGTATGCATATTCTGCTAACAGTGTTGTGCTAATAATTCTCCATTTGTGCTTTGTCTTTTTAAAATGTGGATCAGGGAATAGGAAAAACATCTTAGAAAGCTGTAAAGGAACAATTTGAAAGGGTTATACCGACTTTTTAGTCTTTGAAAGTTAACATGGTTTTTAAGTAATACAACTTTTCCTACAACAATTTCCTTATACTTATAAATCAACATACAAACTGCATTGCACATGTTATTTTATTATATTTTTGCAGCAAACTATGTGCTTATTATTACAATTAATTTTTAGACATGTAAGTATATTTCAATAAGTTCCACTTTATACCTGTCCTTTACGAAAATAGTTAGGTAAGTATTTCATAGCATTGGTCCTGAGGCAGGCTATATTTTGGTACTGTCCTGGATTCTGGGTCCTGAGGGCAGTGATTCTGTCCTTGACATAGTCGGAAACCTTCACACGGATCTCCATACCAACCATCAGCTTGTCAGGAAACATTGGAGACAGTGCAACTTCAAAGCATTAAAAATGATTATATTACTTCAGATACAACCATTCTATAAAATATGAAGTCTGACAACTTTACATGGATCTCCATATCAACCATCAGCTTGTCAGGAAACACTGGAGACAGGTCTTTCCCACAGAAATGAATAAGGAAATCAGTCAGCTAGTAGTTCACCTCCAAAAATGCCACATTGTCGTTGTGTCAATTACATCACTTCAGACATTACTATTCTTAAATATGTAATTTACGCAAGATTGTTCTACAATGTAAACACATACATATACCTGGTAGCAAAGACCAAAACATTTCCTGAATTTCTGTCAATTTTCTCATTAATACTAAGGCATAAATGACATAACTTTATTGAGAAAATAAAGATCCAGTGATAAGCTTTCAAGATAAATCTTTGATAATATTCTGCATCTTTTTAAGACCTTAAGACAACGAATCTAGTTGAAATTTACACCAGCATGTATACTATTTCAATACAAGTTTCATATTTTCCCCATTGCCAGCTTCAAAGTTGTTGCATTAAAATGTTAATCTTCCCCATCAGCATAACAGTTTCAATTGATTTTCCAGCACACAAGTTCCCATTGGATATTTTTTAAAGGCTAAAACAAATCGTTGACATTTTTTTGTATGTGTAGAGCCTTTACCCCCCCCCCCCCAATAGTTTACCTGTCACAAGATGGGTTATGCTTAGAAGTTTATTTCATTGCTTATAAATGTACAAGCATAACTATGTATACCTTTGTGTACATAATTATAAATAACAATTTGTTTTACCTAGCAATCCTCCATAACCACATCCAATATCAGCAAACTCAACTTCATGTCTGTGGTTCTCTGGCAAGTCTCTATGATCATCATGTTTATCATTATTGGTTTCTTCTGGTGGAAAGAACTCTGGGAAGTATTCTGACCATCTCATGTGCTGTGGACTTTTTGGGCTGCAATGATATTTACTTTTAATAAATTACAATATAAATCTGGGTCCTACAATATGCATGGGCATGTACAAGCACAGTTTAAATCACCCAGGTTACTGAAAACGGTAGAAAACGGGCATCCTGATATAAGGTATGAGTTTTAAGTAACCTCTGAAACTCAGTTTAACTGTGGATGAAAACAATTTGATGGGATAAAGCACTGGAAGTGAATGCCACAGTCTTTATTGACACCTACTGTACAAGTAACATGTACCTCAATCTAGAATAACAATCGATTAAATAAATCTATAGATTATAACTATTATGATTAGCCTTTGCTTTATTAGTAAGGTATCAGAGGCACAAGTTAACGGTGGTGCAGTACGTGTATTTACTGTACTACCATACTTACAACTACCTGAACAGCTAAACAACTCCACTACATCAACATATGTACTGTACAGTACCTAGTGCATTGGGGGCATTGTACATGTTCAACATGTGATTGTGAACCATCTGCATGTCTTCAATAACTGTTTATTTGTAGCAAATGGTGTTTACTAATAAATTTTAATTGCAAAAATTCAGTATGTTTCAAAGTAGCATTAGACTCACTAGTCAAAACTGTGATCTGCAATTGGATTAGAATGAGCCCTCTGTCGATAATATTTTTTCTGAGGCAAGGCGACTTCACAAGCCATGCTTGCTATCTTTGGGAAATTAGGTCACAAGAAAGCCTCTTACCCAGCTATGCATTGAAGAATAAAAAGTCTTAAAACACCCTTCTGATACGTTTTGAATACTTATAAAACGTTCAATTATTTAATTTTTCTGGTCAAAATATTACAAAACATCTACCTTCTTAATAAGCTTTGGAGATTACTATTGACGCATTTCCCATGAGGCGCTTGAAAACATGGCTGCGCCCAGGTGACGTGGATAGTTGGGTTTAATTGTAAGCATCTTTTTGTGTTTATTTTTGTTTTAATGCCTTTGCGTATATTTAAAGGTTAGCGAAGACTTTTATCAGTTCGAAGTTAATTTGTTTTCGGAGACACTTTTATATTTGAAATCTATAGACAGAGGTGGAAAAGTTAATATACTTGCTTCAATGGAATCAACGGGAGCTACCCGTCGGTAAACTTAATTTGTTTAATGTGGCTCTCGTTTAGTTTTAATAAGTTTTAAAACTTCATTTATTTTACTATTTACATAAAGTTTTCTTGAGCATCAATAATATCTCTATTTGCTATTTCATCGCCATTTAGGTATACTCACACCTGCAATGTAGCACCGGAATGATGGGCGAAGTTGCCACTCACAGTCAACAGATTGATTAAAACAATATTTGGGAGCGACAAACATGATGGTTATCACTTACGTTTCGTTCATCATCCTAAGCATTGGCTGTCTGGCACTAGTATTCTGGACAAATAAGCAAAAGAATCAACCTCCAATCGGAAACAACCCAAGTTTTATTAAGTTCCAAAATGGATATTTCGCTGCCTATTTTCTGGCCTTAGCAGCCGATTGGTTACAAGGACCATATCTTTACAAACTATATAGCCACTACGGCTTTCTAGAGGACCAGATAGCAGTGCTGTATGTGTGTGGATTTGTATCATCAGTGTTGCTTGGGACATGGGCACCTATAGCAGCAGATAGATTTGGTCGCCAGAAACTATGTCTACTGTTCACACTCATGTATTCCTTGGCATGCTTTTTAAAGTTGTCAAGAAGTTATGGCATTCTTATCATTGGGAGGGTACTGGGCGGTGTTTCCAACTCCCTTTTGTTCACAGCCTTTGAGGCATGGTATGTCCATGAACATATGGAGACACACGACTTTCCCAAGGAATGGATTCAAGTGACATTTGCCAAAGCCTCCATGTGGAATGGAATAATTGCTATAATTGCAGGAGTTGTCGCTAATGCTTCCACAGAGTGGCTGTCTTTGGGACCAGTTTCACCATTTATGCTGGCAGTCCCATGCCTTATTGCTTCAGGTGTTGTTGTTGGTACACAGTGGAAAGAAAACTATGGCACCAGAAAAATTCAGTTTATGAAGTCCTTTCAGGGAGGACTGAAAGTAATAGGCACAGATCAAAGAATATTCCTCCTTGGAACTATTTCATCTCTGTTTGAAAGTGTAATGTATATTTTTGTATTTATTTGGACACCAGTTTTGGATCCTGGGAAGCCTTCTCTCGGAATCACATTCTCTAGTTTCATGGTGTGCATTATGATAGGGAATACCCTCTACCAGTTACTGACATTGAAAAAAGTTACAGTTACAAATTTACTTGCTACAGCAGCATTATTAGCCCTTGCATCAAGTGTTCTTTGTGTCCTCTCAACTCATCCAGACAAGACAAACAGAAACCTATCTTTCATCGCTTTCCTGGTAATGGAAGTAGCAGTTGGTCTCTATTTCCCAGCAATGACCTTTATGAGAAGTAAAATCATTCCAGAAGCTCATCACATTAGTATCATGAACTTTTTCAGAGTCCCTCTGAATTTCTGTGCTTGTTTCATACTGATGATGATGCATGATCCCAACTTCAGACATGGGAACCGGCTGATCTTTGTGGTTTGCACTGTGTTGATGGGAGTGTGTGTAGGTGCTGTTTACAGTCTTATTGCATTGATAAAAAATGACGAGGAACTGAAAGCTAAACCAAATGATGATGGCTCTTCTAGTGTACTAGTTTAAAGAAAGTTAAACATCAAAGGAGCTGGAACTGAATATTTTGGTAGATTTGCTTAATTGGTTAATTTTCAAAATGAGATATATATTGGGTCAGGTGATTTTTATAAAGATAAAATAAATAAAATATAAAAAATATATTATTTCATCGCTCACACCTTAAATTTTGGTATGTCAAGCCAGATATGCACGCAGTTTGATTTTCTACAACGAAATGATATGGAAACCCACCACTTATCTCATTAGCAAAGAACCAAGTTATATATCGTGTACTTGCTCAAGAATATGAACATTCGGGATATGAACGTTGCTTCTTGAAATTGTGCAATTATTATAATAACCAATTACAATTTTAACATTGTTACTTGCTTTGCATAAGTATATGCCACTGAAGTGCACTTTGTGTAATATTTAAGACCTAAAATCAGGTTGTGATCGGGACATGGATAGCAAAAGGTTTCTTATTCATCTGTCCTATTGGTTAATTGCTTTTTATTGAATAAAGAAAGGCTATGGAACCAGAAAATTGTTTCTTTTAAATGCCTTCAACCACTGTTTACTTTTATTTCTTGATTCAGATCTCCATTCTTATGATTCAAATAGAGCATTTATCATCAATATAATCTATGTGATGAGGCAAAAATATTAATTATAGTGTCAAAGTGTTTCAAATTCTTAAGACCTTAAGATATTATGATAATCTTTTGTGCACTATTGTAGGTTTTCTATTTGAATCCGTGTTCCTTTCTCCCCCATGAAGTCCCCTTGCAAGACGACACTTGTAGCTGCTGGAGAGCCAACCTTGCATATAAACACTGGTGTTTTACCTCCAGTGACCCAAACTATCTTAAATGCAGTGTTCAGTTTCAGTGCTATCCCTCCGGTCACATCAAATTCAGATTTGGATGACAAAAAGGGTATGTCTGTGTCTCCTGAGGATTTAATATTTATAACAGGCAGCAGACTAGCTCCTAAAAATAAATAAAAAGGTCTGTAAAATTTAAGCACTATATTTCATTTTCTGTGTATAAAAAGGACTTTGATTAATTTGTTTTTGTTCAATCATCAAGGTTTAAGTTACCATATACTGTAAAATGTTTCTAGCTCTAAACTATAGAGTGTAGTGTACAGCAGTACCAGAACATTTTTTTCATTAGTAAAGCTGAGAAAAAAAAAACTTCAAAATTACATATCTATAGCATACGTTCATGCATTTCTCAAATAAATGAAAAGATTGCATGTCTTATAGTGTTCCAAGAGACATTCCACCACTGTGTAACCTGCACTCAGCAGACAATGGCTTGGCTGTCAGTTTTGTTTGGTGTGACTGGTGTGCAATAATGTGTTTACCTTCAACTTCAGGAGGTCTGTTATATATACCATCCACATCAGTAAGAAACAGGACTCTTCCCACAGATGTTTTCTCGCAAATGTGCTGAAAGAGTATTCAGTGATCATAAAATGAGTTATCATGTAATTACTAACTGAAGCAAAACTCACATTTCCTCATCACAACACAACACTGTATATGCAACAAGTTTGTGATTGGAAAATCTGCAAAAAATGACTTAATACATTTTGTCACTGCAATTATAATTTCAAAGTAAAATTCACTTTAATCCCTAATTGTCTTAATGATTGCCAAACTTCATGTAATTGTTTACACACTTATTGACTAAATACATGGATTAAACAAGTTATTCTTTATTTGGGGACTAAATGATGAAAAAAACCTGTATACAACATTCGAATGTAGTGTACATGTATGACTCTCATTATTACTCTCTGTCCATTTATCATCTTTTCTAGAGACTGGAAAAAACTATCCATGCTATATACACTGTTAAATAACCCAATAGCCATTTGGTGACATCAGTTTTCTTACCATAACAAGACCCTTACTTTAATTACTGTGTCTCCACTGAGTATGCAGCAACCTTTAGAATCATCAAGCACACAATCTCCATGGATAACTGGCACAAATCCTGCTTCCACAAGTGCCAAAAGGCTTTCCACGTTGTCACTCACAACCTGGCCTCCAGACATTCGCCAGGTGTTACAGGGCTGAAAATAATCTGATCAATTTTACTTCCCCTAACACTAAATTGACAATGCATCTCTAGTACGTACTTCAAAGGCAATATCAAATTTTACCCAGCACAGATCTTTTCCTGGCAAAAAGGGCAGTTCATTCACCACCACCCCTCCCCAAGGCCTGAGTCTGGGGTTCTTTTAATGTATACTAGTGCATTCTTTAGCTCAACAGACCAAAATTTCCTACTGGCATGCCTCCTATCAACACTTACAGACTGTGCTACTGCTAAGACTCCTTCCTCCACCAGGTTTTCTACTACTTGTTGCTGTAGCTAGAAAATGGAAGTAGTAAGGTACGTATATACATTGTACTGTAAATATGGGGTGTGCTTCTTTATTCTGAGGGTATACTATTCTGAAGGTCCATTTTTTGAGGGTCGCTATTCCAAGGGTTTACTATTCAGGTCCACTTTTCACAAGGTCTATTATTCCGAGGGTATAGTAGATAGAGAGCAGACAGCACAAAGATAGCAAATTAAATATGGACACGGAGGTCAGTGCCCCAGTTACACAATTCATAAAATTTGTTTAAGTGCAGCTATCGCATCAAGAAACTTTTTCCGAATAGCTGCATGATTATCTTGGAAAAGCAGACCCTCACACCTTTGGAATAACAGAACTTTTGGAATAGTGGTGGACTTCAGATCGAGGCTCTTTAAGTTTCTGGAATACTAGTAGTGAACCCTTGGAATAGCAGACCATGGGAATATAGGGGTGCCCCATACATATTGTATGCATAATTTGTTTAGTTGTTTCATGAGTTAAAATCATTTCAGTGGGATTTTTCATCAAACGAGTGAAAGCATGTCTAACAAATGGTAAATACATGTAAAGATGTACACCTGCACTTACCTTCATCACTGATATCCGTGTTTTGCAAAAGCCCTCACGACATCTTTCAGAACTTCCTTTTTTCAAAAAACCATCATTGACACCAAATTTTTTTGCATGATGATGGCCATATGATCTGAATAACAAATTGACAAAAAACTTTAAAATGCATCAAGTCATATGAGAGAAAACACATAAATAATAACTATATATTAGATTAACAATTTAATAAATTCAAGTTTGTGCAAAATCCTACACCTTGTATCAAAAAAGGTGTACAATAATTAGATGTCAAAAGGTCTAATATGGTACCTGTAGTTCAAGTACGAGAACAAAAGGCACTGCAGTATTTATAGCAGCCAATTAAAGCTGGGAGATGTATAGACCGTGGGCACATACCCTGCACCATGCACAATGATGCATTTCAACTTATGAAGTGCACAGACTGCTACCAACTTTGAAGCTTCTTTCAATTCTTTGACTTTCAGTGTTTCAAGGCAGTCTTTCTGTGTTATCGCACTTCCCCCAAGTTTGATGATGCAGTCTAACATTACAGGAAGTTATGTTTACTGCTGGAAATAAATTGTAAACAAATTTTAACCGGGGAATTACACGCGCACGTGGCGGAAGTAAACAAACACCATCAAGAAAAGACTCGTAGTACTTGCGATTACTTGGGCATTCACATATTTTTGGTTCTCAAAAATGTTTCATCACTTTCGAAATGTCTACATGATTCATGTTAAATTTATGCTCTCGTTGATGCATAAAATGCAATAAGTTGACAACATTTTGCCCCAGTTTTGTTGGCGTTTTGCTCCAGCAAGTGCTGCCGTCTAGGGTTATTTTATGTGACGTCAGCAAGTGCGTACTGGGAGCACGATCAATACTTATTGACGTCGGGTTGTGTCTCGGGTGTACTGTAAAAGGTTTTTCTGTGGAATAGAGGTAGGTGTGATCCTGTGGCTTTTTTGTGGCTCACTTCATCGAAAATATTTTTACCATGGCGCCCATGTGTCAGTAAGAGCACTTATATGCAACATTGCTTGCGTTATCCATTCCTTCGGGCATTACGCCGAGCAGCTTGCGCCGACACAAACTTCGAGTCGAAGACAACACCGAATAATATTGATTATAATATGATAAAGCTTCTTGGTTCTGCTGCAGCATCCAGTGACTGCCATACTTATTCCTAGTTAATGTTGAAACCTGGCTGTTCAAGTGTATCCCAGGGCTTGGTATTTGAGTGAAGGGTAAGCTTGACGTTCAGTTTGTTGACAAGAGTTGACTGTTGTGACATTTCTCATAGTAAGATACATTCACATTCTGTGTATCTGACTCCCAGTACGCAGCGAAAAAACATATTTAAGTCATTTATTGACATGTTTAAAAAGAAGATCAAAGACGAGTACTGTAATTCTCTCTTTATTGAATTAAATTCAATTGCCTTAAGTCAAATAGAGTAATATTATACAGTACGTAGATTGTATATGTAAGGTGGGAAGAGAGAGCAGTGCTATAATGTTATATATTTGTCAATGTATTTGTAACTCTTGTGCATAATTTTGATATGCTTTTGTGAAGATATTTCTCAGTAGTGTGTGGACAACTCTGACCTCTTACTCCGTCTGCAGAACATTTCCAAGCTACACTGAATTCTCTTATTGTGACACGCCTCTTAATCTCTCAGTCTCTTTCCATTTCCTGAATATGGTAGAGACAGGAGAATTCCATAGTGATTTTGCACACTGCTTTTGATAAATGGCAGTATATGCTACTGATACCTGCAAGTATTTAGGTGATCCCAATTAAAAAATTAATGTATTTTAAGTGAAGTTTCCTGTAGTATGATATATATATATAGTTATACAGTTATAGTAAAGTACATAAAATCCACTTCATACCCCGGTACTTATTTAGAGTTAATGCTGTGCTTGTGGGTTTGTCTATTTTTTTCTTCAAATGGTTTGTAAGGAGAAAGAAGTGGAGAGCGTTCTCATAAACCCACCATACTTGCTAGATCAATCTAACTCTTTGGAAATTTCGCCCTAAATTGTGTAAGCGGTTTAAATGTCAGGCACGCATTCTCAAGCTGCTGAAGATTAATTGACGTTAGGGGGTATGCCAAACAATTATCCTGATAACACTGGAAGGACTTTACCAAGAACTGCAGATTTAGATAGACCTAGCTAGTACAATGGGTTTGTGGGAATGCAGTTGCAGTATAGAGTGCACATGCAGTGAAGGAATTGAGCACGCATAAGTTGTCACAAAGAGCTTTATGAACATATTAAAGGGATGGTAAAACTTGTTAAAATTATGTTATTGGTTAAATCTATTTGTATCTTATGTTAATTACTAGTAATATTTAAGGTAGCATACACTATTTCAAACGTAATTCCAATATCATTTTAACAATTGTATGACACTTTTTCTCAAGTTTCATACATAATGAATCAGGTAGAATGGTAGTGAAAACTGAACAGATGGTCAAAAAACTTCCTTGAATAAATAGGGTAGTGTTTGTGAATATATGGGAAGTTTAATAATAAGTGGAAATATATTCCGATTGTGCAAATTGACAGTACAACCCAGTGATGAGTTTTGTGGCCTATCTTTTGTTCTGATTCCAGTATGCCGAGCAAAATGAATTTATTAGTAAATAAGTGAATAAATGTACAGGAAAAATGAATAGGAGTGGAAGAAGAAGTCTTGTAAACTTATAATTTTCCTAGAACTTTTTGCTGTCCCTTTGAACAACTGGATGTTGACCAGGTCAAACTGGTGACAGATATTCAGGCACAATTATCCACAGGTTATGGTACAAGAATATTTTAATCTTGGTTACAATTGTTCTTTTTGCTGTTGAAAAGAAATTATATATACAGCACCATATAAAGCCTAGGTCCCAACTACATTTTGGACGCACGGTTTTTAGGTTCCTTGCGTCCGGCTAGGACGTAGCTAGATCACAGGGAAGGAATCAAGTAATTGGTGAGAAGTTTCCACGTGCTGTTTGCGTCCTCCAAAAGTTACACGATGGACATGCTCTGCACGCACGAACTCCCACGTTTTCTCCATTTTTTGGCCGTAGACCACACGTAACAGCCCGTATGTTAGGTTGGGACCTAGACTTAACATAGGAAGCTTTATTATTGTAAAAGAGTACACCACTATAGCAGATTTTAGGTGCATGCATGAATGTATCTGTTTGCGATAAATCATATACTGTCTACTGTCCACATCTCATTTCAAAACATATAGTATAATATGCTAGTGCTTAAGATGGTTGGTCTCCTTTAAACTTAGTTGTTTACAAAATTTTTCCCCAATAGATTCTTTTCTGTACATCAGTGATAAATACATGACAGTAAGGTATTATTATGTTATAATGTTGAGCATTCCTTATTGTATTGTGGACAGCAGTACATAAAGTGTTCATTACAGTCTCAATCAAGTATGCTTAAAGCAATCGCTGGTGTTTTTAGATATCTTACATAATAAATAAGTACTGCAAAATCCTAAACACTCAATACTTAAAATATGTAATTCATGTAAATTTGTTTTATTACTGATAAAGGAATATTTTACTCTTTTGCTTCTTAAGAGAATGCACTGTAATTGTACTTTATAATGTAAACCAAAATTGATGTTTAATACCATATGAATGTGCCATATAGATGACAGATGTGGACTGTGACATTTATTCTGTACAGCCTGATAACAGGGAATATGTTGGTACTGGTGACAGAATTAATTCTGCCTCGGTATGTGGCTGAATATTATTATTTATGGCAGCATCTGAAACTGATTAAGGGACATAATCACTGTCATTATTAAAGCAGGCTATGCATGATGAAAATGATTTTCCAAAGGGAAGTCCTGTGGTTCAAGCAGCTTTAAAGATAAGACGTGATGATGTTCATTTTTAACAAACAAGGAATATATAAAAAAACTGCCATTTATTAAAGGCATAAAATATATAAAATTAGAGCTTGCCCTAGCATAATTTGGCCAAATGAAAGCCATGAGTTTAAACATCTAGAATTTAAAATCTAGAATTATTTTTATTTCTATTGACAAATTATCTTTAGCGTTTGATAGAAATTTACGTGTGTGAAAAATAGCACTTTTGGTGGTAAAATTGTTGATTAAAAAATGACCCATATTTTCAAACATGTAAATATATAATCATGGTTTGTTTAATTCCCTAGGCAAGGGAAATTATTTTAGTGAATTCAATTATTATTTCCAGGAAATTTGCTGAAATTATTCAAACTCCCTAAAAAAGGGAACAGGATTACTTATAATGAAGAAACAGAATGGTCTCGTGCTGTCTCCATGAATAATGTTGCACATTAGATGACATCATAGAGGAATAATTACTTCCTGAAATACTGTTCAAGTTAAGCTTGTTCATTTAGCTGTTCATGTATATAATATAGTATTTCATTTGAAACATCATATTAATATTAGTGAATTGCATTTATTTTTTCAGGGTTTCAGGCATAATAAGATGAGACGATAAAGGGAAGTCGACTGCTAGACTTATGATGTAGAACATTTGAGTGCTCCCAATTCAACCAGTATTGTAAACCATGTTACCAAAGCCAGCATCAGCAACGGTGGAAACACAGTAAGCCCAATAACTATGGGTGATGCATGCAAAAAGGATTTTTGTCCACGTTTGGTGGATTATTTGATTATTGTAGGATCACGCCATCCTAGTCGTAACAACTCAGTGGCATCAACTCCTGAACTGTTACGGCGTTATCCAGATGTAGATCACCCAGATTTTGCCCTTGCCCCTGACATTGTCTTCTTCTGTCAGCCAGAGGGATGTATAAGTGTGGGGCCCAAACGCATGAGCCTGAGAGAATCCACCTCGTTTGTTTTCACATTGACTGAAAAAGACAGTGGCAAAACACGGTATGGGATATGTGTCAACTTCTACAGACCCTTCATCAGAAGGAGTAAATCCGAATCTTTAAGCAAACGTTCAGAAAGAACAGAATCTGTGAAATCGTCTGAATCTTCCAACAGTGATAGAAGTGCCAATGTTCCTGGGGGAGAAAAACCTCGTGCACGTCGTCGATTGTCTAACAAAGTGAGAAACCACACATTGACATCTTTGTGTCTGGTCAGCCATCATCCATTTTTCTCCAAGTTTCGGGAATGTTTAACAGTGTTGCGACGCTTGATTGATGGGTGCAATGAGAGGTGCTCTATGAAGAGATTGGGAGGTTCAGTGAAGGGCAGTCCAAGGTGAGTAATGTCAAAATGTGCTGTCATTTCTCTCTTGGGGCCAGGTTTCAGAAAAAAATTAAAAACAGAAATTGGTTGTAACTTGAAGACCAAAATTTTGGTCTACTTCAGAAATAAACATGCAGTAGTCCATAAAAATCCAGTGACCATTTGTCAAAACCAGTGGCCATCACTTTTTNAAAAACCTAGTTTTCACAGTCCTGGCTAATTGGATTTTATACCAGGACTGTTAAAATACACATGTTAAATTTTAATTCATCACATTTCTACAAGTGAAGTAAACATATTTTTCACATCAGTATTAAATATTTCACTGTAGTGTTTAACCTACCCATACATGGGTCTTGTACAGGTGCTTAGGTCTGCTGTGTAGTGGGTATGGCAGGTTAATGTTGTTTCAGTTTTCATCTCTTATCACTTTCTGGAAAATATGTCAGCAGTTTGAGTCCATTTCCACTGTACACTCATCTGAAGTAAATGAAAAAATAGTATAAATAAAACACAACATGAAACTCAAAAGGCAAATACAAGAAGAAGTATTGTATATGTTTGTACATGTTTTCAACAATGGTGCTAATATATATGAATTTACAAAGTGAGCAGAATAAAAGATCTGAAAGATCAATCAACAACATTTATGTTGCATTTTTAAGGCAGATCTGTGGATTGTTGCTTACCAGAAAACACAACGTCCTCAAATTTGTCTTCCACTGCCAGGGCCTCCTGGCACCAGTTTACTCTTTTCTGACAGTTGATCAACCTTACAAGTTGACAGTAGTCTTTCCCACTCTTCACCCAACCAACCTTCTTTCTTAATCTCCGTACAGTGCTATGTTGGTGCGTTGTACATTTTATGAAACAATCCTCTTCAAAATGCCTAGAACAGATCATGGCTTTGTCTGGGTTAAAAGAGCTGTCACATCTGTTGATGTATTGGATCACTTGGGTCCTCCATCTATCTGTTACCTCAGATACCCCTGTGGATATAAAAAGATTAACTCATAGAAGTAGAGAAAGTGTTTTACTTGGGAATGGAAGTTTCTTTGTGGTATCAACAATCTAGCATATAAACAGGCATGGAGGTACTGCTCTGAAGGTATAAAATGTGCATTATGACATCCATCTTGAAATAACATTTTATTTTATAATTCTTGAGAAAGTAGTTAGTTATTCACTTGAGGAAAAGGTGGGGAGAGGTTATGGTATAATGGTTTTCTTAATGATTATTATTTATCAATTTTACCTTTCTTAGGCAAACTGTGAAAAGAAAGACCCTTGCATTTCTGTGAGGAGGCACTACATGCACCCTGAGCTTCAGAGATAACTTGACACTAACCTCTTCACAATATCCTATCTTCATCGTGTCAAGTTACATCTGACCACATTCGATTGCCCCCGCCGCCCGCCATTCAAATTTAAAGCCCGCACTCAATGACTCATTGAACGATCTAGCCAATGAACGCGAACGAGTCAAAGCGCGCTTTGTTCAAATCCGGACCAATCAGAGATAAGGCTCAATATCAAGGACTTGCCGTAACCTGTGGGCAGCACGCAAAATACATCATCCCTCAGTAGATAATGATGCAGGGCCTCAAACTGCTCTGGTTTCAATTCCGATATACTCATATTTTGCAAAGAATCAAGAGATAACTTAACACATTTTACGTAGTCACTCGTACAAGACGCCATGCTTTCTTTGTGTACGGTTATGCACTCGGCACTACTCGGATGTCTCCGCACTCGACAATAACTTTGTTGTTAGTATGGAGCTTGCGGAATCAGCCGAGGATTACCGATTGACGGTCAACCAATCAACGTTTTCACCAAACTTTGGTGAAAAATTTTGAAACTTGGATTCGATTGGCTTATATAAACTAGGTCAAACTATTTTTGTCAGAGGTAACTTGACACGATGAAGATACAGGCTATTGTGAAGAGGTTAGTGTCAAGTTATCTCTGAAGCTCAGGGTGACTACATGAGACAACACAACAAAAACTCCCTCCTGGCATCTTTGAAAAGAACAGAATTAAAATTACAATGATAATAAATAAATATCAATTGATCTACATAATCAGTTATTTATTAATTATATATTGCAGCTATATCTCCATGAGTGTGTTCATATTTTGCTTGTACAAATGCAAAAAAAAGAAAAAAAATTAGAAAGGGGTTTGCAATTATAGTCTATTTATTCTGTGCTATTATATTATTTAACAGCATGGACCAAGAAAATTTTTAATTTACCAGCTCAAATGTTCATATATTTCCTGTAGACTGTGAAGAATGAGCGATAAATAGAAAACAATCGACGTCAGACGATAACTGCCCTCAATGACTGACAATATGAACATTATGGAGGGAAAGTACTACAATGTATCATCTGCTCTAGTTGTACTTTATGATTGATGTATAGGCTTCTTTTCCAATGCCAATTTTTCGTCTTTGTGGTAGGATTTACGCATCTTTCATTCACAAAATAAGCACATACTTCATTATTTGGTATAAATGTATAACAGTACAGTACCAGTACTTCATGATCCGGTATTTTGGACCCATACCTAATTGATTTTTACAGTACTGTACCGGTACACAGCCCTAATAGAACATATTGTACTTGTACTTAATCTCTGTAAGCGTTATCGTCTCATCTGCACAAAAAACTGCCTCTACCTGTCCAAATGACACAAAAGTTAATCGACAACCACAATATGCTCGCTATTTGTACGGGAGGTCACATGATCCAAATGCACATGATTTCACGAAGAGTTTGTGGTAAGCCAATTATCCTTTGATCTTGTTCCATGTTTCTAGTCCCTTGGTTATTATTTCCAAGCTGTAACATTCATGATAACATCATAAAATTATAACACATGTACAGGACTGAGGGCAACATGTCATGTTTTGGAACCCAGTGATGTATTCAAATGTGCCGTTATGATAGTTAATCTTAAAGATTCTTTTAACTGCTTCTTTTTGCTTACTAATAGGAATCTTTGGTCATTTTACCATCTCAGTATTTCAAATGAATGATACATTGCGTTTACGCAACACAGATGTGTCTGTACATATTGCCATCACCTGCGTCTGTCGTCGCCGCCGTCGCCGTCGGCGCCGTGCACTTTCCTTGTAAACACGATAAGTGGAAGGCAGTTTTACTTTTTGGCTTTATATTTACAGAGCTGATGAATATTCATAAAATGCAGGTCAAGTTCGAAAGTCAGCATGACCGGGCCATTATTGTAGAAGTTATGCTGTTTTTTCACTTTTCAGCATATATGCAACACTGTAAACACATTTCAACCAAAACCGATAGGCCTGTTGTCATGAAACTCACAGGAAGAATTGATCTTACTAAAACGCAGGTCAAGTTCGAAAATCGGCATGATCGGGCCACTATTTTAGTAGTTATGCCTTTTTTCACTTTTCAGCATATATGCAACACTGTAAACACAATATAAGAAAAACAGATAGGCCAATTGTCATTAAATTCACAGGAGTGGTCAATCCTGCTAAAATGCAGGTTAAGTTAAAAAATCAGCATAATCGGGCCATTATTTTAGAAGTTATGCTGTTTTTTACATTTCCTTAGATTCAATTCTTAGGCATGTTATCAGTTTCATTATTTAATTAATAAGATATGTAAAAGTGTTTTTTTTGACATTTCCTGCATCTTTACAACATTGTTAGTTGATTTTGTAAAAATGATGTTAAACTTGTTATTGTGTATTGTGTAATAAAGTTTCAAAAATGGAAATAAACTCATATCATTGCAGTTTGTAAGTTTCAATCATTCACTATGTTCAGAATCTCAGAATGGAAGAAATTGGACATTTAACACTGCTCTGTTGATATTTTTCCCATCTCATCAATTTTCTTAGTTGATAATATAAAAATGGCAGTAAACTGTTAATTTTGTTTTATGTTAAAAATTGTTAAAAATGGAAATAAACCCATTTCAGAACAGTGCTGTCTTGTTTACATTTTGGCATTTTCAAGTTGTGGCTTTGAAGTTCCATGGGCCTGAAGACCTTTGCTGGTCACATTTTCTGAATATCCATGATACTAATATTTTATTCTTAAAAATTGATGGTGATTATGCTGTTAAACATTATGTAATATTGCATCAAAATTTGAAAAAAACCTATTTTGGGCATTGCTCCCATGATGACCATTTAAGAAAAACCATGTCACTTACTGTTCTCAAACAGTACAGTAAATATGTACAGATGTGTCTGTACATATTGCCATCACCTGCGTCTGTCGTCGCCGTCATCGCCGTTGCCGGCACCTTGCACTTTCATTGTAAACACGATAAGTGGAAGGCAGTTTTACTTTTGGGCTTTATATTTAAAGAGCTGATGAATATTCATAAAACGCAGGTCAAGTTCGAAAATCAGGATGATCGGGCCATTATTGTAGAAGTTATGCTTTTTTCTTTCACTTTTCAACATATATGCAACACTGTAAACACATTTCAAGGAAAACCGATAGGCCTGTTGTCGTGAAACTCTCAGGAGTAATCGATCTTACTAAAACGGAGGTCAAGTTCGAAAATCGGCATGCAGCCTGAGTTGGAAAAGCAGTCTAATTGGCTTCTTTTTCTGGAAGTTATACATTTTCAAAGTGTGAACTTGAACTCTCATGGGCCTGAAGCCTTATGCTTGTTACACATTTTACTTTCATTGGTATTACCTGTTGAGCATAATTAAAATTTGATGTTGAATTTACAGTTTAACATAATGTACTTTTGCATCAGAATTGACAGTAGCCTATTTTGTGCATAGTTATTTCCTGCTTTTTGTCTGTACATTTGACAGCTTTGCTGCCTTGTTATGATGGTTACATTTAAAAATATTTGCAGAATGCTGTTATCAATTAATTTATGTTATATCATGTTTTATGAAAATTTTCTTTGACAAATTGTCTTTACGTTGTTGTTTGCTACTTATGTATGTCTTTACATTTAAATAATGAGAGAACCCCCCTCCCCCCAGCAAGCATTCAATCTCTAATACAGGTTTAAGAAGAGGCTCATGATCAGAAGATCAGAGAAG